TAACGCAATAAAAACAAAAAATGAGAAATAAAAAATAATTTTTCACTGCACCTTCGTGGTGAGCGCGTTGAACTCTTTTGTATGAGATGACGATACAGCCCGTGAATGAGTACGAATACAACTTGCTACTGTGAAAACTCTCACTTGTTGTAGTAAAAGCGAAAGTTTATCGGATTGACGATACTCTATGGGATTTTTTATAACTATGTATTTGACCTTGAGTAATCGGTTACGTAGTAATATGTGATATTTATTACATTAAATTTGTTTGAAGTTTGAAGTTTTATTCTTAGTTTGACTATGTTTTATTATTAATGGTTTCTAATTTAAAAGTATTGATAAGGCAAAGATTGATTTCTGACTAGATTAATAACTGTATCGCGACGTCAAGCTTCCGTAATAAAAGTTATAGTCACTTGACGATTGTAATGAGACCGGTAGCGTGTCTTTATTAAACGGGTGGCTGGCATGCCATCATGCCTTAAGTAGTTCAATATTTTCTCGCTACAAGAATCTAGTAGCTATATCATTGCATCGAGATATATAAACGCTGTACGAACAACTTCAATTTTCGAGTCATTTAGGATCAAGGAGTCAGTCAGATTTTTTGTAAATGCTAATGGACTCGCTCTTCATTAATAGGTTATGAAACACTTATAAGTTATAAGTAGACATCTACCAATTATGACTTCTAAGAATAAAATATGTAATATACAATCAACATTTAAACTCCAATAAGTCAGTAGGAACAGGTAACTTCATAAAGTATCTACATTAAGAAGAACTGCTCGCGACGGGGAATGTGCGCTTACGCAGCTCAAGGACGTATCGTTTCCAACCATGTGAACGTGCGGAATATAGCGATATATATAAATATATAAGGCTTGTGTTAACGATTCGTTGAGAATTAAGGCATAAATCTATGATAATATATGTTATTTAGATATAGATTATAATATAAGAGATAAATGATTAATGATAATTAAGTCTAAAATAGTTTAGTTTAGGCGTAGGCACAACTAGCTACGAACAACCAAAAACAAAATTAAAAAGTATAATGGACGTATAAATATGCCCAAAAAGGGTAGTCTATAACAGAATTAAACACAAAAAACTACCAATTTAAAATTAAAATAAACACAGTATAACCTATTCGAAAACGAACAAAACCTGATCTTCCACTTCATTAAAGGATTCAGGAAACAAATACTTAATTCGCCATCATTTTTTCATCCCAAAAAGGTCTTTAGTTTAAAATGATGTTTTTTGAGTGTGTATCCATGTCACGATAAATAGATTTACTAGTTCATCCGTGAGTTAATCTGGCTAACAATTTAGGCTTCGGACTATAAAACAGGTGTCTCATTAGCAAACTAAACCTGTTCCCTGATTCTCGTATTTATATCGGTTGACCTTGAATATATTTGGAAGAATCAGGTCTCTGAATCCGTGATATATTTTTTAAACTTCAATATTAAATATCAGTCGTGATTTCGTTATTGTACCTAATTTTATATCCGATGTTTTACGACAAAAACTACCAACCCATCATACATTTTGACTAAAGATTACTTGCTCATATAAAGAATTACAGTTAATATTGTAAATTTAGATATACATATTTTGAATATAATTACAGATGGTTACATTCTGCAGCTATAATTAATAACATTTACCAATTTTAAATTAAATTATCATTCCATTAGAGGTGAGTACTATAATTTATTATAAAATTGGATATGATGACTTCATGACGAAATCATTTACCAAAATAAAACAGGAATCAACAAAACCAAGGTACTTACATTCGTTCAAGAATTTAAATTATGACATTTAAATATATGTACAACTTAAATAGATTTTTGCAAATAAATAGCCAAGGTCCAGCATTAACATTTTTACGCAAAAAAAAAACATTGTTCTATACCTTTAGATAAAGCTAATAAAATTGCAGCTCGTGTATTTTTAAATAATAAATTCTATTGGCATTTCTCAATGTATGTATTAATAAAAGATCACCAACTTGTCCTTCCATTATTTTTATTAGGTATTTTTATTACAACCGATATACAGACTAAAACATTGCCACTTTAAAAAAAACTTTACCTACCCTACAGTAGAATTCTGCCCTGCGTCGTAGGACCCGAAACAACAAATTCGTGGATCACACAAAGTGATGTTTGACTGCGGGAATCGAACCCGCGACACGTTGCCCACCTACTGGTTCATCCATGCATTCAAAAGGCTATTCTAAGTACACTTCAAAGAATGATGTACAAAATATTTCCTCATACATTCATTTAAGAGCGAGAGTCCAAACTTTTGAGATGTAATCCTCGAAAAGGTCACAGGTTCCAATTCTATGACCTATTGTGTGTGTCATAACATTTGCAGACTTAGCAACAAGAGTATAAAGTTGAAAGTCAGGTTTAAAGGTCTACAAACCAAAGTATACATTCTTATACTAGCTAAGTATGTAGGTTAGCAATGAATGTAATTCGTTACCAGTTATGTTAAAAATGAGGGAATGGTATTTCTTGTCATGAACAGTATTGTACTGGGAACTTACTTTATGCGCAAGTTTTGCTTCTTTTTTTTTCTTTATAAAAACGTTGCTTAACACTAGGATTTTCTATTGTGTCGTGGGTGCGTTTACAAACATACAATTTTCACATACACAAGCCAACCAGACCCGAAAGAACAATTTGTGGATCACACAAAGTGCTGTTCCGTGCGGGAATCGAACCCGCGATACGTCGCATGGCAGCCAGTTACTCAGCCACAGCGCCAACCGTCAATTTTTTTTTAAATAATTCACTTTTTCACACCTGTAAATATTCTCTTTTTCGAGTCAACTAATATAATTTTATTTAATACTTAGCCTACTACTGACTACTGCAGAGATTGTGTGATGATGAATGATGTACTTAGAACTTCTGAATTTTGTGGGTGGTCCACGAAATTCACAAGATCTGTTCAGTCACTAACGCACAACAAAACAATAACTATCTACGGGACGATATCGATTCGTCCCGTAGATAGTTACAATAATATAAGATTCGAAGTTACAATATAATTTAAACCAATATATAGATATGTATACCCAGCTAGTATAACATATGCAATGTATCTACGTTACAGGAACAATAAAGGCAAGGTATCAGATAAATATTATTTACGTGTGAATGGCAACAACGATGACCTTACGTCGATGATTCGAGACACAGTCACATGGCCACCATCATACACAATTGTTGTGATACTTTTCCATAAAACTACACATTTTCAAGTCCTATACTATGTAACCTATATCATATTTATTAAGTATCAAATGACAAACGAACAAAAGATTGACGATAATAATTTCAAAAAAGAATCGTGATGTTCGATTTACTCAACAAATTAAAGAGCAAATGTTAAGAAAGGGTATTTAAAAAGTTTTTATCAGAAAACATCCATCTTAATCCAAACATTATTTTAATACACAGCGAGAATCTGACCTGCCTCACTGTATCTAAACAGAGCGATTTTTTCATAAGTCATACATAGTTTGTCTAAAATTTAAATGAAATTAATTTTCCCATCAATCAGCTACTGTTTCCACACCAAGCAATTATCGGCTACTGACTATTATAGAATAAAAATGATAATTGCCTCGCAATAGAATCTCGAATCAGACTTACGTAAAGCCTGTCTGACTAGACTTGTAGTTTCTGGTTAACATTCCAAACTAACGCACAGCTAAATATGTACCCAATTAACTATGTAAGTCAGTTAGTGGACAAGTGTGCTTAAGTTTTTAACATAAATAACTAAATTCGCAAGTAAGTTAGAAGAAAAAATGTAGTATTTTCTCGTGACTAACGAAAAATTTGCCGTTAATCTGCACTGTTTGGGGGTGATGTTCAATCATCTTTGGAAATGTCATTGCAGTATCAGCTGTGATCGTTCACGAATCGTTTTAAGATCACAAATACGTACTTAGATCTCCAGAAATGAAATAGCATTTATCTCAAGATGTGTGCACGCTAGTGTTACACGAAATTACATCTAGTCTGACATTTTTATGAGTTCTATGACTGTCTTTAAATCATTTTTACGTAATACAAGCAATTGCTAAAAGCATTTAATTTTGTATGTACAAATTTAAATAGACATAATGTGCACATTAAGTTCTGAAATTACAATTTGCGTAATCTTACACGGAAGCTCTCTATCTCTTTCTAAATGCTGAAGAGAGAAAGTACTTCGTTATAATGTACTCCTAAATTCTGCCTGGTATTTGAGCAATTTCAGTCTGAGTGAGAATCGTTGCGGATTACGCTCGGGTGCTATTTAGAGAATGTTTGCTTCGATTCAAACCTATGTATCTGTATAATACTTAATGGAATGCTGCTCGGAACGGGAGTTGAAGATTTTTTATTAAATAGATATCTATTGTTATTTTATTTTTCTAATTAATCTATTTTTTTGTTTTTTTCTTATCGTAAACAGCTATATTGTCATTGTTATTTGTAATTAATGTAGAAATTCTTTATAACTAAATGCTTATATTTTTTAAATGATATTATAATATTTAATTCAAAAAGTAATGCTTATAAATGAGATAAATAATCTGTAAGGTAATAAAAATAGTTATAGAAATTATGAACCAATTTGTTTTCTAAACTCGCATAACAAACAGAGAAATCGCAAAACAAATCTAGAGAAATTCCATAGTCAAGTCGATTTTACTCGACACTACGATTGTGTCGATTAAATTATTAACCAGTTTGTTACCCAATCCGGACTCAGATAAATTCTTCGCCTTCAGTAAAAGTGACTAATTTTGACTATTACGTATGACTTATGGAAATTTAGTCATAATATATTACGAAACATATAAAACGTACATTAATTAAGCTGTATCACATTAATACCGGCTTTCTTGCATCTCATTTAAAAAAGAAAAGTTAATACCTTCATTCAAGTATTATAAATTAAAATGAAATTTGACTTACCATTTTAAATATCGTATAAAACCAACTCGTCCTGTCAAAGTTCCCCATCCTTATAAAATGTAAGAACACAAAGAATCTATCGATTGTACTTTGTAACACTACTGTTATTCACATTATTCACAACATCACATGCGAAGTAGATCCGATGCACATTAATAAAAAAACTATATTGACACTGGCCGTGAACACGCGATTAAAAAAAGTTATGAAAAGTCGCGTTCGAAATTCAAGTTTTGGCGGGAAGCGTCGACTCGCGCGGACTGCGCGCCACAGACTGCCAACATGGCCGCCGATTTTTTTGACGGTTCACACGAGTCGATTCACTTTCTACGACCTTACGGCGTATGCGACTTGTAATTAAGCATAAAGATTTACGTAACACGCCGATGTAACCCATGTCAAATTTAATTTCCGCGAATATTAATATTTTAGGACACCTGTCAGAGTGCAAAAGTGTATAAAAAAATTGTGGTCATTTTCCTTAAATAGAAAAATTGAGGGTAGATATGTTATGAATGCGTTTCACGGTCAAAATGAGCTATAAGAATTAATAAAGGAAGAAGTTCGGTGTTATACAATAGATATCTATTTATACAAAAATCTAGTCTTCAAAAATATTCTACTTTTAGAAAGGAGTCTACGAAATATGTACTATGCACAATAACTCGTCTTTCACACTTTAAGAAATAGGCTCAGAGCCGTTTACAAATTCCTTAGCTCAGAGCCATACTCTTACAATATGATAACTAGATCTCGACCTTATTATTAATGAGTATTGGTCCGGTTTGTCTGACCTTCAGCCTAGATCGAATACTATCTGTTGAGCTGCAGGCTGCCAACCAAAACTGACCTTTATAACTGATGATGATGATGATATGGGTATCCATGAAATAAGTAAGTAAATTAAAAAAGGTACAGTGACAGGTATAATAAATTTCTTACTACCCCTTTGTCTCCCAGCGGATGTCAACTAAAGGACTACGCATTTGAGAAAGATGGATAACGCCACTGATTTTTTATGATACTGGTGAACGGAAAACTGAGATACTCTAAACGGAAATAAGCATTTTTTGGGTTATTGCAACACCAAAGAGGTTCCAAGTGAGTTGCCTGTCTTTTTGCCGTCGTTAAGGATTTGAGGACCCTCTGAAACTTAATGCCTACCTGCCCAGAGCAAATAGGAAAATTTAAACTTGACATGAACCAATTTTTTTTTAAATAAACTGGTTTTATACTGGTGCATAGACCTCTTTGCCCTGCTTATTACTTATAAATATATGTCGGAGCGACGATTATTTAAATTGAATTTTGAAGGAGGTTTTATCACAATTCATCGGACGAGGGTACCATAAATCGTACTCTGGCGGAACGTCAAACTGGCAGTTCTGCGTGCGCATTATGTTGGAGAGCGAGCGCTGTGACTGTCATCCGAGACGGATCGCCGACGTCCTTTATTTTTGTAATTTATTCGGCCTGATTATAAAATCCTACGCCCTGCGATGGACTGTGAAGACGATGATCGGGATGTTGATGTTTGTACCAACCCCCCGGTGCCTTCATATATAATATAATTCCATTGAGTGAGTGCCTAATTTAATGATAGTGAGTAGGTACTTGCTCATATCGCCAGATCTTAAGTAATACAAGCCATGCCTTTAAACAGATAAAATATCTTTTAAGGATAAAAATGCTGGGAGGTAGGCTGGTTCTGCTCTACAGGATACACGAAAATTACTAATTACTTCGTCGATACCTGCTTGAACGGAATTATATTATAAAGTAAATGTGAGTGCTCTGTAACATTCATAATTAAATTAGACTAGGAGAATGTAGGTACTTGTGTCAGATTAGACTTGTCATCCCATTGTATAATTATACCCGTTGAGAAATTTATGAAAAGCCGAAAAACTTATTCGTTCTATATTTTTTTGTTAAGTGATTGGGTAGCAAATTGTTATTTCGTTTGGGGCTCGTGCAATCCATAGCTCTCTACTGAGCTTCTTTGTGGACGCTAAATGAGGGGCCGTCAGCTAGTCCAGTGGTCGCGTCCTAGAGCTTCATGTTGATATGCATCATCTATTCGTAAGATCTACGCGAAGCCACCGGGTTCTCTTCCTAGATCACCGCCAAAGGATCTGGTAGTGAAGGCCTTCGGCGATCTTCAGTTTATATCGCGAAACTTCACTGCCACGCCAGATTAGTGCATGGCGGAATGAGCTTAGGTATTAATTAATAATTTAATGGCAGAGTAGAAGCTGTCTTTACTGTCCCAACAGAAGCCCAGGCTCGTTGTCTATTGCTATTAAGATATGTTTATTTTACAAATATTTCATACTTCGTGCTTTGCAGTTTTTTTAGTTGAACAGCGTTGTTCGCTGTTCTCAAATCCAGATTTTTCATATTTACATAAATGATAACTTTGGACGCGGGACAGCATCCCTCGATACCTCAAATCCTCAATTGAAAGGGAGGATCCTCCGACCAGACGGGTGTTTAGTCGCTCGCGATTGCTCGCTACACCTCATACAATTTCAGTTGCTGTATCATTCTAGCCGAAACCTTCACAATTTTTGTGGAAGTTTTTTCGTAAGGCGTGCACTCCTGACTACATTCCAGCCTTTGAGGAACCGGTCACGTATGATCTAGGACATGTTGAAGGCTCGTGTCGTGAGACAGAGAAGGGCAGGCCGCAGACAAGACATAAGCAGGCGTGTTCTTTTTTTAAATAACTAATTAGGTTGGTAGGTAGGTACGTATTAACGCGAAATATTCAATAGAATTTCAGTTTTATTGCTTTTGTATCTAAGTCACAAATTTCTTAAGGAAAATTGGCAGTTTTGAGTGTAGGTTGTACTAAGTTGTTTGTTATTAGTCCATGAAGAAGGAGGTTTCCTGTAAAAGTACGGAAGTCGTGATTTTAAGGAGGAAGTCATGTTTTTAATGCAACTGGAGTATTTTTAAGAAGGCGAATGACAAATGTTTTTATTCTTAAGTTTTTTATTTACATCTAAATATTATAAAAGCTCCAGTTTTCGCAAAAACACTGAAAACACAAAGCTGCCACTCCACCAGACGTAATTTACATCGTTATCTTTGTCTGAATACTTTCCAAAATAGAAAAATCCCAGATATTGTACAGTCCGAGCAAACCGTTATAGCAGTGACAAGACCCATCTTTGAGGAGTGGCTAGAGAAATCCGTAGCGTCCTCACCTTCCGCCTTACGCAGGTGCTTACCGGACACGGAAGCTTCGGTAGTTACCAGTTTTGGATCTGGCTGGAGGAAACGCCCTTGTGTCGTCATAGTGAGGACAGCCCAGAGAACCCTGCTTGGGCTGAGCACCGCCATGTTCTCAGGGGAGTGATCAACATCGGCAAAATGGCTTTTTTGATCAAAAACAATTAAGACAACTTAATAGTATGTACCTTAGAATTTTAGCCAAAATACCATAAGTAAATAAGTTCCTACGGTTGGAAGTTGTGTAGCATTTCTCGAAACCAATGATTGATTTCATAATGTGTTGCCGAGTTCGATGACTTGCTCAGAATTTCTTGTGTTCAACAGTCGCGTCACGGGCGTCGAGACAAATATGGCAATGACACACAGTTGAAGAGGCACAGAAGATACATTCTGAGCAATTTTAGTTACGAAAATTATTATAATTTCTATAAAAAGTAAAACTCTTAATTTAAATTATTTTCTTATAAATTATGTAGAACTTAGGATAGAAAAAATATTACTTAAGTGTGGGAGAGTCATGCCTCGGCACAAATGGGTCAGCTCGCTCGACCGGAGTGATACCACGGCCTCACAGAAAACCGGCGTGAAACAACCACATCGTTGTGTTTTACCGTGTGAGTGAGGTTACCGGAGGACCAACCCTTCCCCTCCCCCAATCTCACCCCAATCCCTAAATCTCCAAATCCCTAATCCCCAAAAGATCAGCAACGCACACGTAACTCCTCTGTTGCGGGTGTCCGCTGATTACATAGCATCAGGTAATCCGTCTGTTCATTTGCCGACCTATTACATAAAAAAAACTTACTTCCAATCAAACCTTAGAGGCAGTGTAGTCAGCTACAATAATTACTAAAATTGCCAAGTCGCTTGTGAATTTGGACATTCTTTTTTTACTTAGGATTCCCTCCTTAGGATTTTGTTCTGTGTCGTGAGTGCAAAAACATATAATTACAACACAAATTTACATACCTACACCAACCCGAAACAACCATTTGTTAATGTGTGGAACAAAGTGTTGTTCCGTGAGGAAACCGATCTCGTGTCATGTTGCGCAGCAGCTAGCAGTTGCTCAGCTACTTACAGTCAATTTGAAGCCAACTGACCACCACATATGCAGTCGTGGAAGCGGGCCAAGCGCAATAATATACCGCAGCCTCATCGTGGAACAGGAGTAGGAACGAGGTGGTTTTTTAGTCAGTTAGGGTGCAGTTCCATTGACTCTTAGCGGAAAAGACCTGTGCCGCGATTCACCAATCACATTGCTTCGATAATGGATTTCAAGCCATGTGATTGGTGAATCGCGGCACAGGTCTTTTCCGCTCTGCTCCACTCCGCCTCAACGGAACTGCACCTAATAGTCTGACAGTGAGTTAGGTGATGTTCCACTACCAAAAAATAAAGTTTTTTTTGCAGACAAAAGAGAACGCTTTGCTTTTTTATTATCAACTTTTTCTGCTATTATTTTATTAAAATGTCCCATTATACTTTAGTTCATACTTCGTCTTTCATTGAACTTCTGTACAATTTATTACTCGATGACGATTCTCTTTGTGCTGCGCCTACGCCGTGTACAGAATAATACACCTAAGGAAAGTTTATTTGTCAATGAAATTACTAAAAAAAAGTGTCCGGTGAAATTTCTTCTTACTTTTTCGTTGTATTTTGTAACTGATTTTAAAAGGAATCTTCGTATGTAAGATATTTTTTATTTTTTATTTTAAAAAACGTTGCCCCACTCTTGGATTTTCTCCTGTGTCGTGGGTGCGTTTACAAACATACAATTCTACATACACATCACACCCAGACCCGGAACAACAATTCGTGGATCACACAAAGAGTTGTTCCGTGCGGGAATCGAACCCGCGACACATTGCGCGGCAGCCAGTTGCCCAGCCACCGCGCCAACCGTGCAGTCAATTCTATTACTTTGATGTCAGATCTCCCAGCTATATTACATAATAGGAATAGGCTCAACAATTACTAGACTGTTTAGTAGTTTAGGTATAGCATCCATTACACTATATGTTGAAAAAATGGGGTTCTCTAAGATATCTGGGTATTTCGGACTCCAGAAAAGTTACTCTTCAAGGGTTAATTTACTTTTGAGATGTGCAATCCTGTCTCAGGTTCGAAATCAACGTGGACACTCTCGTGGGCAGAAACTAATACATTATAGGTCTGTAAAGATTGTTGGTAAGTAAATGACATGAAAAGTCGACCAAAGATTCACGAAATAATTTCAGTATAATCTGTCCGCAGGACAAAATGGATGTGGAATGTTTGTAAATAAACAATACATAGGTACACTTCAATCCAGTTTCGTCTCACACAAAATTCACTATTCACTGCGGCTAGATGTCGTTTTACTGTTTACAAACATTTCACAGCGATCTTAGTCAAAATAATTATTAAAATAGTCTGTTACAGTAATTAGGAAGCAACTGATCATGTGAATGCAGTGTGTCTTTCGATGGGCCACATTAGCGGGTTCACCTATAAGTTCACAGGGATCACATTAGCCCTAAAATACTTTTATATTACACCAGCTGCTATCTTTTGCCCTCTTTATAGTGTCCAACAATCTACCTCAACCGAACTGCCATGGCTGGAAGTAGCTGCAAAATTTCCAAATAAAAATCTTATATTGTATGATTTTCCTTAGCTTTAAAGATAAAGAAGCACGCCAACGAACCAGCATAAGATAAGAGTAGGTAATTTGTTTTATGGTATAAGTCGGCAAACGAGCTGACCAATTACTTGATGGTAAGCAATCGGCGCCGCCCACGGACACCCGCAACACCAAAGGCATTACGAGTGCTTAATACTCAATACTCAATACCTACTCAATACTTTATGTCCCTCCTGGTACAACAAAAATCACAGAGATGTAGCCTGTTGTGTACTTTTGCTTTTTACTAATAACCTTATAAATGTTCTTTAGGCTATTGCCCTCCATTAATGAATTAATTGAAGTAATTATTTTATGATTTAACAAAAAACGTTGCCGCTCTTTACGATTTTCTCCGACCTCCTGTCGTGGGTGTGTTTACACACAAGCTACCCAGATGCAGAACAAGAATTTGCGGATCACACAAAGTGTTTTCCGTGCGGGAATCGAACCCGGGACGTTACACAGCAACCAGTTGCCGGGCCACTGCGGCAACTGTGCAGTCAAAACAATGATTCTGATTACTAATTAAGATTCTCAAATGTCCCTCCATCAGTACTGCCTAATGTCATACAGCCGGACGCCGCATGGTACTTCAAACAAAGTCCGCGACGGAAACGGATATTGTGGCTGTTATTACCAACGTTGCTGTTGGTTGTCAAGGCACGTTCAACATTTATTTCACATTAAAATGCAAATATATATTTTTAATACGGTCTCTATAAATGACGCACATTCATACTCGTAATATTCTTAGTAGGTAAGTGTCCTGCGTGAGCCATTAAGGTATAAAACCTATATCTAGGTACGTATTTAAGCCGACCTCCTAGCCAATAAAATTAAATATATGAAAATATCAAATTGATAGCAAACCGCAACCGTATGTTACACCCTGTCATCTGGGTGGTCCTCACAATGACTACAGTCAGGAGTATTCTCCTGCCAGATCCGAAACAGGAACCTACCGAAACTGCCCGGTTAACACCTGCATAAGACGAAATGAGAGGACGCCATGGTTTCTCAAGCCACTCCTCAAAAAGGGGTCTTACCGCTACATATTTATAGGTTAGGTAGATACCTATAAATACCGCCCCAGAGACGTAACTTTTTTTATTTGATTATGTGTGGTAGAGCCAAGCTTAGCACGAATGGGTTGGCTCGACCGGGGTGATACTACGACCTCACAGAATACCGGCGTGAAACAACTACAGCGTTGTGTTTCGCCGTGTGAGTGAGGTTGCCGGAGGCCCAATCCCCTTCCCCTATCCCTTCCCAATCCTTATATCCGCAACCCCTATCCCCAAAAGGCAACGCACTCGTCCTTTGGTGTTGCGGGTGTCCATGGGCGGCGCCGATTGTTTACATCAGGTAATCCGTATGCTCGTTTGCCGACTTGTACCATAAAAAAATCAATGATGAGTTTTACCTACATACTTTTGTCTGATTCAGTTGAGACCTCTCAGGTTTTTGTGTAGGTAATGCCTCATTTACATTCAGCTGTAGAGAGCAGGGAAGTGGGCAGGACAAGTATGTAAACTTATACTTCTCGAATACCACTCGCGCTGCCCAGCGCTTCCCAAAAGAGCGGTTTTTAGTGGGCACCTCAGGAACTGTAAAAATTTGAACGTCTGCCATAGCCGGAACTTGAAAGCGAAGCGAGAGGAAGGGCAGTACTAATATACTACACTATGTACACATATCCAGTAGCAGTAGTTAGGGAATTATAACCGGAAGCGCTAGGATGAGCGATAGGAGCTAAATGTAAATGTGGCAAAATAATTAGTAATTGTACCAGTAAACAGGGTAAACAGTACGTTGCATATTTTATTACGAAACAATCAACCAATCAACCCTGCCGAATATTTTCAAAGTACCCACTACCTACTCAGTACCTATACATTCAATACTGTTCTGTTACACATTTGAGAAGGGATGTGTTAAAATAAATTTTATTTTTATGTCATTATTCGTTGCGTAGCGTTCCGCGCGCGCCTGAAACAGCCAATAGACAACGGGTTGCGGGGCAAGCGCAATGCAGTACCGCGGGCTCGGCCCAGAACAGAAGGAACGGGGAGGTTTTTAGTCAGGAACAGTCTGACACTCCCTCTCCCTCCACCTTAGGCGGGAGAAGTAATGGGTAGACTTTCCGCTCACAAAAAAAAATATTCGTTATGACATTACGCCTGTCAGTAGACGTACGTATTGAATTCTTCCTCTTCTTTTTCTTTTATTTTTTTTCATCAGAGCTAGTGTACTCTTTCGTTTAGTAAAATGCTTAATATTGTGATTATGGCCACATCAAAAATGTTTTTGGTTCAACTAGCGCCATCTTTTGATATCATGGTTGTAATAAAATCGCAAGGTTGTTCAGTACTGCCATGTAAAAATAAATTTAATACTTAATACAAATTAAAATATGACTCAGATTCTTTGATATAGATAAGCTTACTTGAAATTGATATATACATTGCATTTTGTAATAATATAAATTTCTAATCAGCTCGATCGTGTATAATAACAATTAAGGCGTTAGCAATCATTTCTTACTGGCAACAGCGAACACAAGTGTCAAAAAAGTGATAGTCGTGTGCGGACGGCTGTTTATTAATTTTTAATAAAATTATGAAAATAAACGAAACATTCGCAATCAGTCATCAATTACATTAAAATTCTCTATATTAAGTGTTGAAATGGTGTGAAAAGTGTTTTTTCTGTGAAGTGGAACGAGATAAACCTGCAAAATGGCAAAGTAAGTGAGAAATTAATTGTACTAAGATTCTAAGTGGATTATTGGAGAGTAACTCAATACAAAATTGTCGCCTACGTGATGTTGCGGTTGATTAGACTCGGCTGATGAAATCTCTGGTTACTGATGCGATAACTACACAATAATATTATGGAAACGATTCTTGTATCTATTTTTCCATGTTTGATGTTTTTACAACTGCTCAGCTCCAACTGACTGTGTCGTTATGATATTTTCGCGTAAACGAGATTTGTAAAGTCTTCTTAATTGTATTTTGATGCAAACAATCAAGTTCAAAAATTCCAGCTTACTTAATGTGAAATAAATAGGTGTACACAATAAAGACTATTTCCTTTTTTTGGGCATATATGGGCATATAGAAATATTTTATACTATAAAATATTTCTATATGCCCATAAAACATGACGCCTGCTCATAATCAAATAAGTGTTTGACAAAAATTTGTAGAAGTATTTTACTGCTTGAGTAAATCAATAATCACTATTTTCTCAGCTGAGCACTTCGAAAACTGCAACAATATCAATTAAAATAAAATTAATCCAAAGCTCATTGAACTATAAACAAACCTAATTACTTTATAAAAACAAAGACAGCAATATTATTTATCAACTATGTTTTTGTTTTATAGATAATTAAAAAGTTAACATAAACAATGTTCAATGTTTTTCGCAGGGAAATGATGATAGTGTTTGTCTATGACACTCTGTGCTGTACTTCAGAGGAGGACGACCCTATTGATGCAGTACTGTACTTCCATCCTGGATGGGTGTCTGATACCCAGAGGCATGCACTAGCAGGACAAGTAAGTCAAATTTTTTGTCACATATTTTAAATTCAAAAAAGAGGTTCTGCAACACCTCTTTTTGAGGACCAAAAATATGTTTTTAATTACTAGACAGGTTCTATTAACTATAATGTTTGTTAAAAAAAATACCTATAATTTCTCTTAATGAAACTATTATCCATTTCCAGTCTAAAAGTGATATCAATAAAATAAAATGATAATAGAATATTATTTAGTTATTGATAAGATATGAGATTGGCAAAAATATTAATGTTATTATTTATGAACTAGACAAGTCACATTAAATTCAGTAAAAATTTATTATCTGTGTTATTGTGACCTAAATCAAACCACTTAAAGCAAACAAAATGTATAAATAAATTACAAATAATTCTTTGAGCTGGGAAAATGATCAAATGGCTTCTTTCACTGTGGATGGGCAAGAGGGAATATCAGTCTTACTGACTAAAAGCTTCCCTATTTCTTCTTCTAGTCTAGGCCGTGTCTGTGGTACATTTTTGCACTTGACCCACAACCCTGGCAGAATAACTCACTATATTTTATTGTGAATCTGGACTACATTGACTTATGAGAAACAGGACTTAAAATCATTTATGCCGTAATGTTCATTTAGAATGTTATTTTAAAAATAATTCTACTCATAAAAAATTTACTGTAATATAAGGTTTTTTTGACCTCTGCATTTGTTTCGGCATTTCTTCTCAGAATAGTCATATAGGAAATGCCTAGTTTTTCACATAAAAAATAGAGATGTAAAAGTGCCGTTTTATGGCCTATTTGCAAAAATAAATTCATTGTTTCATTGTTTGTTTATCTAAATTCATTGTAGCATATTTTCAATGTGAATGCCTGGTTTAAAAGGAGTTTTTATTTTTATTTTGAACAATATTTTGCAGAACTCATTTATTTTATCTGCTTTTAAATTTCAAATGAAACAAGGAAGCCAAATAATATTTGATGTATTACAGACATAGTAATCTGTTTATCTTATTAATTTATTAGCAAGATTAATCGCCAATTAGCGTTAATGTATGGATTCATTCACAATGTTCACGTGTTATTACGATGCGACGGCGGCGGCATGCCCGACGTTACAAAGTTTAATAACATGGATTTGAACCATTTACAACCCACCTGTGCACCAGTAGTGTTTTATTATTATAATGCCAAGCAGTATACTTACCCGCTGACAAATTTTTAACTGATATTCTAACATAAGTTACCTGCATGCTAGGCGAAATTTAAGTGCCTATTTAGTGTGTTTTAGTTTCTTATGAAATTTCTATTTAGGTTAATATTATATTTTAATGACCTCAGACTCAGCTTTATAAATTGTTTCGTATTATTTGCTGTATTTGATTACTCTATTATGTACGAGAACAGCTTCGCTCCCAATCAATTTGTAACTCACTGCTGTTGCAGTGATAAGATCCCTTTGAGGAGTGGCTAGTGAGACGCCCCAGCGTTCTCACCTTCCGCCTGCTGCAGGTACTTACTGGACACGGAATTTTCGGGAAGTGAGTACCTGTTTTGGATTCAGTGGTAAAAAAGGCCCGGATTTCGTCACTGCAAAGTCCATCCGAAGGACACGTTGGACGAGTGCGCTGCTTGCCTGAGCACTGCTGTGTTCTCAAGGAAGCGATCGACGGTGGCGACTTCCCACGCCCAGCTTTAATCTAAGCCATGTTGCCGAACGAGAGGAACTGGGAAGACATTCCTTCGTCTGGGAAGCAGTCCTCACGCCGCAGCCACTGAAAGCGCGAGTCTGCCTATGGCAAGCAAGATCAGACCGTCTGATTTGAACGTCAAACAAAGATAATATCTATAAAAAATATGTTACTACACTCGCGAGCAAAAGTATGGAATCACTTACTTGGAATTGAATCCTCGCGATCTTAAGTACTTAATAACTAGTTAAGAATAATAAAAATGGTACCATTTAAAAGGTTAAACTGTTAACTTTAAATTGATACCAAATTCATTTAAATCACGCCATAATTTCAGAAGTTATACGGGATTACGTGAAGAAGTAAGGAAAAAGATATGTTTCAATTGTTTGATACGTCACGAGTTGCGCCCTATTGACCCCCTATAAAAGCACGTGTTATCGGATTTTCTTTATCAGTCGGCTTTCACACGTTGACCAGTACACATCTCCGCTACTTTAGACCCTTGAACTTGGACGACAATGGATACTACACCTACAGAAGCAGCACAAATCGTCGCCCTATTGCAAGAAGGGCTCAGCCAGCGGGCTGTCGCACGTCAGCTCCACATAAGCCAGTCCTGTGTTTCGAAAGTTTATAAACGGTTTCGGGAGACTGGTGGCTTTATCCCGAGACCAAGATCTGGACGGCGCCGGTGCACATCGGAGAGAGATGACCGTTTCATCGTGTCAACCTCTCTTAGAAATCGACATTTGACTGGTGTCGACGTCCAACAGGAGCTCCGAAATGTTCGTGGGGTAGCTGCCAGTGAGTGGACAGTTCGTCGAAGACTTAGGCTAAGAACTCACGGAGCGATTTTGAACCGTGCCCGCCGCGGTAGCGGAACTGCGGTTTTATTTCCAAACTCACGAGACCGGTTATTTGCGCGGTTACACAGCCGCCGCGGTTGCGATCATCGCCCGCAAACGTGGCGGGCGACGATCGCAAGATTGCAAGACGGGCGGTTAACAATCAGTTGAGGTCCAGACCGCCATGGACACACACCAGAAACGAGCCGTTGCGTTATATTTACTTCACAGAAGACCCGCCGGCCCTCGCGGTCGCTCGCCAACCGATCGCAAAGTACGCGGGTGCCACCCGCCGAGGCTGCGGGTAACCGCGGCCCGCGAAAATCGCTCCGTGAGTTCTTAGCCTTAGGCTAAGAACTCACGGAGCGATTTTCGCCCGTGTCCGCTGCGGTTGCGGGCCCGCAGCTTCTGTAGAATTCAAATATTTATATAAAAAATTAAAGCACATTTCACGACGCGTTTTACGCCCGCGGTGTACGCGGTTGTATGCGGCTCCCGCTGTACCGGCGGGCAACTAGTAGAATCGCGCGGGCCGCGGTTACCCGCAGCCTCGGCGGGTTGCACCCGCGCGCTTTGCGATCGGTTGGCGAGCGACCGCGGGGGCCGGCGGGTCTTCTGTGAAGTAAATATGACGCAACGGCTCGTTTCTGGTGTGTGTCCATGGCGGTCTGGACCTCAACTGATCGTTAACCGCCCGTCTTGCAATCTTGCGATCATCGCCCGCCACGTTTGCGGGCGATGATCGCAACCGCGGCGGCTGTGTAACCGCGCAAATGACCGGTCTCGTGAGTTTGGAAATAAAACCGCAGTTCCGCTACCGCGGCGGGCACGGTTCAAAATCGCTCCGTGAGTTCTTAGCCTTAAGCAAGCTAATTTGACTCCAAAAAGGCCTGCCACAGGCCCGAAACTGACGGCAGGTCACCGACAAGCACGCCTTCAATTTGCTCGCTCCCATCTTGATTGGGAGGTTGAGCAATGGAGGCGAGTTCTGTTCTCCGACGAGTGCAGAATGTGTTTGCACGGCAGCGACCGAAGGGTTCGGGTCTACAGGCGGCCTGGGGAGCGATTTGCGCAGTGCTGTTTCGCTGAGACAGTGGCTTATGGGGGTGGTTCTTGTATGATGTGGGCCGGCATTTCCTTTAAAACTGAGCTTGTTTTCGTGCCTGGCGGGGGACGAGGAGGCGGTCTAACTTCAGACCGCTATATTTCCGATATTCTGCTAAAACATGTCGTTCCTTATGCGGGATATATCGGCGATGACTTCATCCTTATGCACGATAACGCTCGTTGTCACACTTCCCGTGTCACAACTGAATATCTCGAAGAAGTCGGTATCGCCACAATGAACTGGCCAGCACTCAGCCCGGACTTAAATCCCATTGAGCACGTATGGGATGAACTGAAGAGGAGGGTTCGTTCCAGAAATCCTGCTCCTTCAAGTGTGAATGAGCTGAAATCGGCTTTGATAGAGGAGTGGGAAGGTATCCCGCAAGAATCGATACAGAAGCTGATTAGGTCAATGAAGAACCGCCTTCAAGCAGTTATTAGGGCGAGGGGAGGGAACACAAAATATTAAATCTTAATTTTAAGGTCAAATAAAATTTTTATTAATTAATTTTTGTTGTTTTCTTCATTCATTATTTTTTCCATTATCCTTATGTTTTCCTAACTCCTTCACTCAATCCGGGATAGCTCCTAAATACTGGTGTGATTTAAATGAATTTGGTATCAATTTAAAGTTAACAGTTTAACCTTTTAAATGGTATCATTTTTATTATTCTTAACTAGTTATTAAGAACTTAAGATCGCGAAGATTCAATTCCAAGTAAGTAATTCCATACTTTTGCTCGCGAGTGTATATCGGTCAGTCTCCTAGCAAAGCTATTTGCTCGTTTTAAAGTGGAGATTGAACTGGTCAATGCCACAATAGCTTATGAACCTGCTCTCTTAGCCTAAAAATTTAATCAGAGTGGAAACAACGACTGTCGCAACCGAGGGCCGGGCACGCTACCATAGCAGCGGTAAGACCCCTCTTTGAGGAGTGGCTTGAGAGACGCCACGGCGTCCTCACCTTCCGTCTGACGCAGGTGCTTACCGGGCACGGTAGCTTCGGTAGGTTCCTGTTTCGGATTCAGCGGGAGGAAACGCCCGAGTGTCGTCATTGTGAGGACCACCTAGAGGATACGGTGGAGCATACGGTAGCGGTATGCCCTGCCTGGGCTGAGCACCGCCGTATCCTCAGGGAAGTGATCGGCGGCGGCGACCTCTCGCGCCCGGCCTTAGTCGAGGCCATGGTGCGGAGTGAGAGGAACTGGGACGCCGTCTCCTCCTTTTGTGAAGCAGTCATGCTCGCAAAGAGAGAGGCGGCCCGCGTGAGGGAGCAATCCTCCTCCTCACGCCCCAGCAGCCGCAACTGGTGACACTACGGGCGTCGGGGATCGAGGGACGATCTCCAGCCACCGTAAGCACGGGCCTGCGGTCGGCGACTAAGGGCAGCTCGCCGCCCGACCAGAACCAGGCCCGAGCATACGGCGCGTAGCGTTCCGCGCGCGCCTCAAAGAGCCATTCGACCACCACAGACGGGGCCCTAAAGGGCTGATGTTCAGCCGGGGTTGCGGGGTAAGCGCAATGAGGTACCGCGACCTCGGCACAGAGCAGGAGAAGGAACAGGGGGGTTTTTAGTCAGTAAGAGTCTGACACTAAAAAAAAGGCCTAAAAATTTAATAATAATTTTAGTCGACTGATCGGTACCAAACGTGTGTGATTAGAAAGTTAACATCGACATAATCTGTGCGGAATGTCTGCCGGACAACCTGTTGGAAACATCTATTACACGAGCAAGCGTAGTTCCGAAACTTGTTCGTCCACCTCTTGTTATGTAGATAGCTGGTTGTAATTTAATTATTTATTGCGAAATTCTATTTGTTCAGGCCAAATCTGTTTTGTCGCCTAAGTTGTAGTCAAGGTTAACAAGAATGAGAAATATGTTAAGAATTCTTCGCCTGGTCTAGATGTTGCGCATTTTGATTTTTAAGAAAAGGCTAATACAATTTTGTGTTTTTTTTTAAAACGGGCATATAGTTTTTGGTAAACAAAACTAGAAGTGCCACGTTAGGCGCAGAATGGAATAAAAGCAAGATCGATTACTAAGCAAAAGATTTTGGAATAATTTAAGGCGAGGCAAAATGTTGTTATATTATATTATATTTAAAAAAATTTGACGTTGTTGTTCTATTTTCGTTTTTTTACTTGAATGTGAATTGACGTCCCCGGTATACGGCAATAAGGCAAAGTGAAAAAGAAAAAAAAAAAAACAATTTCTTCTCCCATCTACAACCTGGATATTGGCCCACGTGTGCGAGGTTCTCGCTGTCCGCAGACTCTTACCCGGTGGCTGGAGAACACTCGATTCCCGACGTGTGTCTCTGGCTGCGGCTGGGGCGTGCGTGAGGAAAGTCTTTCACGTTCTCCGCCTCCTCTTAAGCTAGTATGACCGATTCACAGATGGAGGAGTCGGCTTCCCAGTTAGATACTCATGTTTAGCGCATGTTAGTACTTACTAACCATCATGCCTAACAGCTACACGGAAATGTATAATGTGCCATTATGTTTTTAAATTGTCATATTTAATGAACGAAGGAACAGGTGAAGCAACTTATTTATAGATTTTTGTTATCTTCTTTTCTACAAAACGTCGTCAAGTCGATCTATTTAAGTAGAAAACGAAACAAATAAAATGCCGTTGTCTTATTTTGGTTGTGCTAATAAAATATGTAGGTATTAACTATTCGCGCGCGGGACGGAGAGTAAGGGTAGCTCGCCGCCCGACCAGAACCAGACACGAGAGTATGGTGCGTAGCGTACCGCGCGCGTCTCAAAGAGCCAATAGACCACAGACGGGGCCCTATAGGGCTGATGTTCAGCCGGGGTTGGGGGCAAGCACAATGAGGCACAGCTGCCTCAGCCCAGAGGAGAAGAAGGAAGGGGGTTGTTAAAAAAGCATTATTTTTTACCAGTCGCTAAATGCCAAAAAAAACCCTAATGAATTCTGTATTGTCTGAACCAAACGCTTACGCACTTGATACTTAGACTAAAGCCCTTATTCTCATCTGTCTCAAAAGCCTAATGAATATTTTATCGCGTTCAGAAACTTCCAGAAACTGTCACTCAAACATTTAAATCCTTGTCTTTCAAGTTGACTCATTAATATTCATATTTTAATGTTTTTGAGACTGTTGTTATAAAAGAAAATTGATCTACTAAACCTACCGACGTTACGAATATAAAAAGACGTTAAGGTGTAATTGGTTACTCGGGAACCTAAGGGACTGATAGGTGGCAACTGAAAACCAGTATCGGGTTCTCATTGAGTCCAATATTTACTGAGTTGGCAACCCGTTTGTCATGAGCACTTTTTCAGCTTGATATTTTTTATTTGAATCGTAATTTTAATTCTGTTTTATAACTTTTTTTGTTATTTTGTTTTTGTTTTTATTATTTTTAATTCAATTTCATCAAACCACTATTGTATCTTGAATTACCACGATTGAAAAGTGATGTGGGGCCTAGTGCTGGCTAAATATTTTTATTTTTCTAACTCTCTCACCCTTTCACGCAAAATCTACTGAACAAATCCGAATTAAGTTTAGCTAAAGGATAAATATTGTATACTTAACACGTTATTCACCATCAGGTCGTGGGCGCCGCACACTGCGTAAAGACACTGTTCTCGCAGCCAGTCGCCATCACTTTGCAGAGTGGCAAGTTCATCATCAGGGAATATGGCAGATACATATTGGTAAGTCCAAGAAAAATACTTAATATCTATTGTTTTTTTTTTTAGAATCCATCCTTCTAAATACTATAAAGAAGAAATATTTCACTGTTTGGTTTTTTATGGCTTAGGTCGGCAAACGGCAGCGGATTACCTGATGGTAAGCAATCGTCACCACCCATGGAGACTCGTAATACCAAAGGAGTTAAAACTAAAAAGAGTAACCTTGGAGTTTCTTGCTCGTTCTTCTCCATAGGAATCTACGCTTTGGAACGAGCAAATAGCTTCACTAGAGGACAGACTGACACGCTTAATGTTAAAGCTCTTGAAATACTTTATTCCTTTTTTTTGCTTTGCGTTCAAAAGTGCCTAATGTGGTCTAATTGAAATAATTTATTTTGACTTTGACTTTGTTACTACAAGTTCGTTACCGGCCTCTTGTGGGTTATTACGGATTTAAGGATAAAGGATTTGAGGATTAAGGATGGAGGGCAATATTTATTGTTTGAATAGGCTCCGAAACTAATATTTGAACCATTATTTTATTGTTGGCCAGATGAAGTATCCTCGGTGAACCTAGCGTTTCTAAACCTATTGAACAGATTTCTTTACAGTTTTAATCTGTGAAGTCTTTTGTAGGTTGCAGGCGAAAAGCTCGTTCATAATACTTAAATTCTAACCTTTTACAGGCAATTGGTAGTGATAGGAACATCCCAGATTGGGTGCTTAAGAACCGTGCCAATCTGCTTACCTCCATGATCAAAGTGTACCATGGAGACCTTCAAGTCCTAGCTGAACAAATGGAAGACCAGCGCCGTCTCTCGGAGAAGCTATACCAAGTCTTTGAGACGTATCTACCGGTGCTGCAGTATGGGTGCCATATTTTTCAAAGGGTGCCTATGTTGACTTTACCAAAGGTAAAAAGCTTTTAAATTATTTATGAATATCCTTTTATAGTGTATCGTTAGCTGCTGAAGTTATTTTGTCTACCTCCCACGTAAATAGAAACAAAAAAAAAACAAGTAGGTATCTTATGAAAACACAAATCACCCCCTACGCGTCTAAGCTTCACAACAGCCTCATTTTTTACCGTCCTTCTAGAACTTTTCCAAGATCTCAATATCGCCCCTTTGGAGACCATACAGCACATTATCCAATATTTAGTTACAAAAAGTTTTTTTTTCGGTGAATACACACACAACTATTTAATAATAGCATTCCAGCCAGTGTCAAAAAACCCCTATAGCTAATTAAAAATGTATTAACATTGAGCATTGAGACTGCTGCAGCTGGTTTTTAATATCAACAACATTAATATCAACATTCGTGCCGAAGCATGGATCTGCTCCATAATCTACATTATCCCTGGTGAATTTTAAAGAAAATTTTAATTTTAATTACTAATAGTAATAAACACTTTATTAAAATTATTACAAATTTAAATTAAAATTTTATTAAAATTATTACTATTAGTAATAAACACTAGCTGTGCCTCGTAGTTTCAATCACGTATTTTATTCTTATTTCATATTCACCAGGGATAATGTAGATTATGGAGCAGATCCATGCTTCGGCACGAATGTTGATATTAATGTTGTTGATATTAAAAACCAGCTGCAGCAGTCTCAATGCTCAATGTTAATACATTTTTAATTAGCTATAGGGCATTTTGACACTGGCGGGAATGCTATTATTAAATAGTTGTGTGTGTATTCACCGAAAAAAAAAAACTTTATAGGTAGATTGTAGAAATACACATAACTAAACACTCATCTAGACTGAGCTAAGGCAAACTGTGACGCGCACTTACCGAGATATCAAGAGATACTCCATCGAGTGTTTGCTCAACACATTTATCGCGTATCCGCAAATATTCCAAGTGAAGTGAGTGCCACTGCCCTGCTGCATTGTGTGCAACTAATGCAGTTATATGAATGTAGAAGAATATGCGTTTCAGCCTTTGCGAAAAACATTTTAATGTTAAAAAACCAATTCTAAATCATTTACCTATAAGTGCTCACTGCTGAGCAAAGGCCTCTTCTCATACGGAGAAGGTTAGAGCATTAATCACCACGCTTGCTTAATGCGGGTTGGCGATTTCAAACTTATAATTAGAAATTATAAGTCCAGGTTTCCTCACGATGTTTACCTTCACCGTATGTCAGTGGTGTCTAAATAATCATAGAAAGTACATATAACTCGGAAAAAGTCACATTGGTACTTGCCAGGTTTCGAACCCACACCCTCAGGCATGAGAAGTGGGCTCCTTTACCTCCGGGCCACCACGAAGGATATTTCAGATTGCCATAATTATAACATTAACCTATTTCTCTTCATGTACCAACTATTTTAATTTGTGTTATATCTACTACAAAGTAGAAAACAAAGTCGCTTTCTGTGTCCCTATATCCTTATGTATGCTTAAACTTTTATGACTACGTAACGTATATTGATGCGGTTTTTGAGGAAGGTCAAAGTTTATAATATTATCCATTAAATAGTGGAGAAATTTAGTGTCAGCATTGAAGCCGCACCAAGCCGGAGCGGGTCGCTGGTACAAGATATAATTACCAAAAGGATCTTATTCAAGTTTATTTAATTTCAGAGCGCAACATCAGTTTACATGGAGTCCATGCAAATATTGGAACACTGTAGGAAAAGCAGTGGCGTCTTAGGTGGAGTCGTGTTGTATAATAATAAGTAAGTTGAACAAAAATAGACCTTATTAATATTGAGTAGAGTTTTTAACTTTATTTTCACATTTATCCTAATCCTCGACACAATATCTTCTTCCATTCTTTCCTATAAAACGAGCTTATTTTCCTGTCCAATTTCTCCCACACAATATTCCATTACGTTTTGTCGCCACTTTTTTTTCTACCTATAATCGTACCTACTTATGTCAAGTAATGGACAACATTTTTGATATTTTATTAATGAATTTTATTTCGTAATATTCACAGAATAATCGCCACACAACTGCCTCCCGGTCTCACTTCCTACCTAACAGTGGTGGACCCATACAGAATAAAGTCTCCCGCGGAAACCCTAGACACAGAGACTCCCCTTCCACTTGGTGCTCAACTGCTGGTAGTGTATGTGGGGAAGAAACTTTATGATAACCTCAAAAAACAGGTCGATAAAATACAGGAGTTCCATCAGAACGGAGAGGAAATGATTGCTCGGTTTAAGAAGGTAACTCAAGGCTATTTTGTAGGATTTTATGTGTTGTTATTTAAATACATAGATTCAACGTGATCTTCAATTTTTTTCTTAAACAATGGCCTACTTTGCTAAAATGTTTGTTGATTTTCAGAGTCAAGAAGTCGAACGCGAAAAACAACGTGACTTCCCCCAATCCGGTATGAAGAGAGACAAGTCCCTACTTTTCACAGCTGTCCCTGAAGAAGATCACACCATGATATCTCCACCCAGCAGGGAAGAACGCAACCCTGATGAGGAGAGGAAGCCGCCCTCCATGCCAGATGTCGTACCATTCACTAACAAACCTAGACAAAGACCCACGAAACTATCGCTTAGCTTCAAAACACAAAAATCATTGGATGAAGATATTCAAGAAAATGAAAAAGTATTTACAGGGCAAACTAGTGTGTGCTCCACTCCCATGGTGGAGTACAAACGCCTTCACGGCAACATGCTCTCCATCTGCCAAGTACCTGAAAGCCAGCAAGATAACATCAACACGGAATTAGAACCTGATGTTTTAAAAAATATAGAAAATTGTAATAAAATTAATTTGGAAAACGAAAAACGGGACAACAAAATGGTTTTAGACATCAATTGCATCGCGGACCACTACATCAACAAACCAGAGCCAATCAGAAAGCTGGCCAGTGTCACAGATCTACAAGAGACTATAAAGAAATTGTCAAATCGTGCGACTTCTAAGTTCAAGTTGAAACGATCAAAAGTGTCCCTGAACGATGATACTCCGTCCCCTGAACATACGCCTAAGAACCCTGGCACTATGACCATAAACGATCCATTGTTCCCGGTCTTTAGGAACGATGGTGTTGCCATATCAGAATCCCTTTTCAACCAATATTTAGAACAGCATTATTCAAAAATGAAGCAAGATTCCACAGACAATATGTTCACCTTCAACATGAAATTATGTGAGCAGGAAAAGTTTGAGGACTTTGATTCAGAATTAAATAGATCGCCACAAAGAACTCCTAAAAAGATAGCAAAAGATTCCACGAAGACATTACCAACAGACCAGTCGAGGAGGAAATCTTTATCTTTACCTTTGAAATCTTTGAATGAAAGTACAGATTCTCAGATTGGGTCAGAATCTGAGGCGACTAGTTTCAAAAAGAAGTTGACTGGTGTGCAGCTGACGCCTTTGATGGAGAAACTGAGCCATCTGGCGTTTTCTGACAAGTCGAGCGGGTACAGTAGTAGGGTAATGACACCGCTTGAGCTGAGGGAATTCCTGACCCCGGCAGCCGACAGACAGATCACATTTACCGATAGGTACGTATTGCATTCTATAAAGGCAAAAATTGTCTGCTTTTTAGCAAGCAACCGTAAATAAAAACTATCATTAATTTGTCTAATTTGCTAATCGTCTCTATTTTAGGCCAAAAACTCAACGACAGGATTCCGAAAGTGACGATGACTCCGACAGTGACTTGGAGTTGCTACCCGAATACAGTAAGCACGCAGTCAAGTGTGCGCTGTTTGTGAGTGGACTGCACAATATGGCGCTACTTGCATTACTTGACACCGACGCTGCGAATAACGTGGAAACTATTAATACTCTGGTATGTTTACAAATAGCATTCTTACGCATTTTCCAGTGTAAAAAGTCCAATCAGCAGTAATGATGACAATTTAACTATACAATGCTGTGTTGTTAAATTCTGACAGTTCCGCACCCTTTATGTGAGGCTTCATTGCACCTCTGCGATGATCCTTGGGTTCGATATTTTATGTTGTAAAGAATTATAAATCGTCGCATCTTTTTCTACAAATCGTACTTGTTTGTTTCAGTGGGAAACTTCTCTAAATGCATTAGGCCCAATAGAACAGAAATGTATTGAGCCTCTGGCAGCCGTTGGTGACGCGACAGACTACAGCTACTTAACATTGGACCCCGACTGGGGCACCGTACGTAAGGGCGGGCCCTGGGCCGCGCTAGATATAGCCACCATGGGGCTTATACATAACGAATTCGCGGAAGATCCAGAAATGTCAGAATTTATATTGAGGTAAGTCTATAGTTCGTATTATATAGATGTCACCTTCATTCAGCCATGTCCATTATTTATAAATAAGTTAAAATTGCAACGAAGAAAACATTTTTAACATCTATCAATGTTATTCCAGGAGTGATGAGAGTGTTGTAGTGGGGTCTGTCTGCGGTGGAGCGCAGGTATACTACCAGGAAAAAGGTCCTCGCGGTGCGGGCCCGCCGCCACCCTCGGATGTACTGGCGGCCGCGCCACTGCGCGCAAGACGTCGTCTCCACCGCGATCACGCCACGCTACTTCTGTAATCCTACAGACGCTACTAGCGTGCAGACTTGTACACAGGTATAAGAAACCACTGTATGATTATCCTTGTGACGTTTCTCATATACGTCACAGACAACAGTAAACGAAAATGTTACCAAGTGGATCGATTTTAATAAGCCGTTGGAAATGTTATTGTGTTGAAGATTTTTACTGTTTAGATAACTATCCTATGGGCATGGTAATTACTCAACAGTAATGCATCGATGGATTTGCATAGAATTCAGACAAACATAACAATGAAAGAAATTTTTGGTGTGTACTGCGTACGTTCGTGACGTACAACTTTGATGATATTTTTATCATAGATAACTATATAGACCTTTATTATAGCAGAACTTAGACAAAATGCCATTAGTATACCTAGGTAATTACTTGAAAATGGATATATCGTCCATAATTCCTTTGGAACTGTTGCATTTGTAGCCGTTTGACTTAAACACACCTACTTCATAGTTACTATTACTAGTACCAATCTCGTTAGAATGCAACTTATACCTACATAATTCCAAATATTCTATGTAACCAATACCAAATACTGAGCCCAATGAAACTATAGTCCCGCTCCATTATTATTTTTACTGTAAGTAGATAAATAAGATGCTTTTTATTTTCTGTAGAACTTTTTTATTTCTACATGAAATTCAGCTAATTCAACAACATAATGCACAACCAGCCAGTTGATCCCAAATAATAACCTAGCTACCTTACACCATGTTTTTATCGTGGGTACATTTATCATGATATATTTAGAAAGTTACAAGTAGATACCTATTAGAAGCGCCTGTAAGTTTCCTCATGTTTTATCGATGAAACCGCGAATGTTAAGGATTGTTCTACAAAGAGCATGGCGTGATAAAATTAAAATGTTGGCCACGAAAAAGCTTGTAAATACATATTGCCAAATTGTTGTTAATTAAAAGGATTTGATGAAGTTTTTTATAAATGTCAATGGTGTATGACCAAGCATTTGTTTATATACAGTAAATGGTTTTTGTATTCGAATACATTGATCTTTACGTCTGCTGATTGCACCAATATGATATTTTATACAGAATACCTGTGCCATAAGATGCTGAATTTGACTTATTTTTATATTTTGTTACATATTTTTATATATTATGACTGTATAAAGAAAGTATATTATTTGAGATATTCTCGTCGGATCCAACGGTAAATCAGTGAAATTCTAAAACATACTCATTTTAAATTCTTGTAGAAGTAAGGATGTAGCAAATGAAACTTCAAAACATTTTGGTGTACGTTTATTATTTGTATAATGTAGTTATTCGATGACACATCACTTTGTGGGTTACTATTTTCTTTATTATAATTGTATTATCTAATGTGTAGGTCCAGCAGTAATATTCAGTACATACCTGCCCTATATAGATATTCCTTGCAGTTATATAGCGACTGCATCGTAGACTAATTGTTTCGAGCTCATTCTATTCTTGCCACTAGAAAATAAGTTTTTCGGCCACTTCTAGATTATAATTGCCAAATTTTATATTTATTTTCTTACAGCTGAAATCTCTAGTCCTTCCAGAAATTATCTTGTAGTAACTTCGCTGAAAGCTGGTTTATTGCTAAGAACTGGGAATATAGGTAGTTGAATTTATGCGATAATGGTTTGTAGTTTTTGGCGTATGTCATCTTTATGTACCTACTTAGGTACAGCTTTCCACAGCGTAACATAATTATGTCGATAACTACTATCCATTATCGTACTAGTATGAAACGATTAGTGGCATTTTATGAATTTTATTTTTTATAGTGTTAAACTTTATAGTATTTTCTGCCTTAGATATAAGTATATATGTTGTTGTAATGTTGCTTGCCAAGTACCTAAAGCGTACTTTTATTTAGCAGTATTATATGTGCAAGCATTCCAGATGTTCGAAGTAGTTGTTGGATTTGAAGTCGTACAAAACAAATTGATTACTTTTAGAACGCCCTCGTGTCTCTTCTTGAAGCTGTTTTCAAATTTTTTTATTGTGTAATTGACAACGCTGTGCCGCTCTGAAGCTATTGAGCTTTATGCAGAGCCTATACAGGTGCTATCTGTGCCAAATGTAGCATCACATGACAGGCTCTTAATAATACAAGGGTACATATAAATGACAAAAAACATCTTGTTTGGATAAGAGGCAGACTTCAAATCAAACATGCAAATCATATCACATTCCACGTCCCGTAGCTTTAAGTGACACATCCGCCAGAAATGAAATCGCGTCCAATGCAATCAAATGCTTAACCAAACGATCATATGTTGCCGTGTATTGTTTTTAATGTTATTTGTATATTAAAGAGTATTTAAGTTTATCAGCGGTTAGCCTAGTCGCCATGGTGAGTGCCAACGTCACGATTATGTGGTATATTTATAATAATAATATACATAGATATTGTTAAGAATTTTAATAAAAATCTGATAGAGAATTTGGTTAATATTATTTTACTATATAATACCCATACTATTCTAACACTAGTCATTTGCATAAAAACTGTAGTTTTATTATAGTTACGACTTATCACTAGGCACATGATGTCATTTAGAACATCTGAAGTGTTGGGTAGATTGCCTAGAGGGTAACCATGTCCTTACATTAACTTCTATTGTTTATATAAGTATGTGCTTTTAAAGTACATTAATGTGCATCCTACAGTAAGCTAAGACATCTAAAGAGTAATCGAATATTGCTGCTACAGTTTTTATGCAAAAAATTACTATGAATATAAGTCTAACTAAATGCCGTCAATAGTACATATACATAATAAAATTAGGTACTAGAATAAAATAGATACAAAATAAAAGCAGAATGTTCATCAGTCTGCTAGGAGTTGATGACGCTGACGTCGGATCAGGTATTGAGAAGACTAAACCAGGTAATGTTTTGAATGTAATTATTTTACTAAGATTTAGATGTAAGTTACTGTTTAAATTCCAAACAAGCGATAGTCTCTTCTGTTTATATGATAATATTATTGTATAATGTATATAGTATGAATGTTATCTCGAAGTTAGTACATAGAATTTGTAGCCTCAGATTGTCCTGGACCCTCCGCAGCGTCAGTCGAGAGAAAGGATACGATGGATAGAGAAGGTGGGACGAACCAAAGTGAATGAAGAAGAACCAATAATGACGTTACAGCTATTGTTTTATTAACAAGTCGTACAACAACGCTACGCTAATTATCGTGAGATGCTAGACTCGATACAACCGATACATAATAATACATATGCAGCTTAGCTAGCAACACGAGAAATGCGAGTTCACGTCGTCACAACGATAGAATGGATATACGGTAGTCGGAAGATAAAGAATATGATCTATGCGCGCGCGACTTCTCTCTTCAATGTCTTCGCAAAGCTTGGGCTTCCTACTTAGCGGCTAACTCGATCATATTCTTTTCGCTTCGACAAGCCGGTGCCGTTGGCTGCGACACGTCACGGACGGACGGACGGACGCCCGGCGGCCGGCTGCCGGCTGCCGGTCCCGATTCCGGCGAGCGCCATTTCGAAAGGACTTTTCAATCAAACATTTTCAAAACTTCAACACAGTTAGTTTCAAGGAACTTCATCCTTTACTTCTTGTTTCAATACCTTTTCAAACAAACAAAATCAATATTAGACTTAGTGTTAAATCTTTATTAGAGCTAGTTTTACATCCTAGAGGCAACTATGCCCGCGCGGGCGTTACACGCTAACTTATTCTAGACCCTTTCATCACATTATAATTAACACAAAGGAGCTTCTCTCTTGGGGCCGCGCGGCCGGCGCACGCTCGGCTGCGGCCCGCCTGTTACAGAATGTATACAAACGTTAACAACAATACGGCTAACACTACCGGCTGGTACAATACAATATAAATGCAAAGAGGCCGGTCGACACATAGTTGGGATCTGTTGTAGTATTCAAAATGCTATGCTATGTCTGAAGTTGAACTCAGCATCACGAACTTACTAATAACGACCTGCAAAGTCAAAGAGGGGAGTAACTATGTGTTATACCAGAACATTTATTATGGTGCTACGTGTCAAGTGGCAACATAATGTTTCTATCAATTTATTCCATAATCCACAAATGACTAGTGGTTATTACAATATTTTGTTGCAGTACCTAGTGTAGTATATATCAAGCAATAAATGCGCGATAACAAAGCATTGTAGCTACAATAGATTGAAAATGACGATTTACTGTTGGGCCAGTGTAGATGCGCGTATACGAGGCAGCTGGCCGCTAAGCGAGACGTCTCTCGCCGTTACATAACAATTGCGGACACGCATGAATTATAAACAGTAAATGATTCAGAACGTATGAACCAAACCAAATACTAAGGGAATAAATTGATATAAACCAAATATATCAGACATTTCAGAACTTATTCCTAATTAAACTAAAAGACAAACAAAGATTCAAAGACAGACCCCACTTCATACAATCACAAAAAATATATACAGAAGTTTTTTTTTAGGATATTCAATATTTACCAATTTGTATGTGGAAGAGCAATGTTTGCCCACTCTTTGGTATATGAAAAAGGTATCTTTGAATAAGTACAATTGCTCTTTTTTTAAGGTTTTATCCTTGCACATGAAAATGTATTTCAAATAATTAGAGTCCATTGAAATTATAATGACTAACTGAGTGCACTGACTCAAGATAACCATAATAACAAAAGAATGAATAATGACTTGTGTCAAAAATAAAACAAAATAATATATATATCATACAATATTTGTACAATTAAGCTTGAGCTTCAATAGTCACACAAAATTGTCGCTTAAGGGGATTTAAAGAATTTGCACAATTAGCAAGTCAACAGGGCTACTAAAACTATAACAAATTGGCTATCAGTTCAAAGGTTTAATTCTGTAAAACTTGATGGTACACTCCTTTCATCCAATTAACAATAATCTATCTATATTAACTATTTACATAGTTTAATTGACTCTACATAGCCAATACAAGGTGTTACACATAATATATTGCTATCGAATTTACAAATTATTGCGTATGGCACGCTATTTTAAGACATAAATAAGCTTTGGTCTCGCCATCTGGAGACTTGCTTCGACAATATCAGAGCTTATACACTCAAAACATCAACCCTGCAGCTCAAGGTGTGAAAATTAATAGTTAAAACCTCGATAGAAAAAATGTAAATTTCAAATTAATTAACATCCATTTGTGTGCACATCAATATTTTGTATTACAATTTTATAGGTACTTTCAGCCCACCACCATAGAGTTTGACTACGATTCAACTAGCCTTTCTGCTAGTTATGTCTACAGAGTTAAAGTAGCCCTGTATGTTTGAACCCGACACATTAGTTGCCACTACCATAAAATGTCCTGATTCATAAATAGAAAACATTTTAACATAGATTAAATATTGTTGTTTGTAATAAGCAAACAATCTAGAACAGTAGTGGGCAAAACACGACTCGCGAAAGTATTTAATCCTGCCACCATTGTTACTCGAAAATGTGTAAATATTTTGTGGATCAGGTAGAAGCAGAATAATAAGAGGTCTAGGAACCAGGAAAGCTAGCAGACTATTTATTGACTGTTGCATAGCCATGAGACTTGGTATTTTTTGCCATTAAGTAATCAACCACTGAAGTAGTTTTGGTCCCCATGAAGTAAGTTTGCTCACCACTGGTCACGAGTGTGTCATTGGCACATTTCTAGCAGTCTCTTGGTAGTTGTTACTTTCGAAATTAATGGCTTTACCATTTACTTGTTTACAATATTATTTTTAAATTGCATGCCATGGATTATGAAAATATATTTACGAGTGGTACGATTTCAAGGATATTTTATGGTGTGTGGACAGCTAAAAGGGGGCTGGGTTAGGAGTGGAAGCCTATCGCTCTTGGTGGTAATAGGACTTACGCGGCGAGTAGGAGCGTTCCCGCTCGTAGCGACGGCGGCGGTAGTGCGGCGACGGCGACCGGTGCCTGTAGCCGCGATGATAGTAGTCGCGCTCGCGGTAGCCGCCTCCGCGGTAGTAGTAGTCGCTGGGGACAACACTTATGTTAATTAGGATATTTCCCTGAAGCAAGTTTCAAGCAAAATAACAAATATTTATGACGAAATTCAAAGAGAAAAGAATGGGAATATCGAACTATACTTACTCTCTGTCGCGACGTCTGTCGTAGCCGTTATCGCCACCTCTGCTCACACTGCAAATAAAATAGATTTCTTTAACCACTCAGCCACAAACTATTTCTTTAAAACAAATTTAACCACTCAGCCACAAACTATTTCTTTAAAACAAATTAAGGACATAATTGTACAAACAGGCCTTAAATAAACATACTAGGCTTAAAGACAGTCTACTCTAAATCTGTTTCTAGTTATGTTATACCAACACATAGGAGTCACTCATAACATTGATATGTAATGTGTGAATTTCTTTGTTGGATGGAAGATTTATTTTGTCTAGCTAAAGAATTTTATATCTTTTAACAACAACCCTGCTCCTCTGAAATTACTAAATTGAGCTTAATACTCACGTAGGTTTCCCCATGTAGATACCGGGTGTCGGGGTATGCGCACGTTGCGTGATCGAGTAGTCGACGCGGATGCGACGTCCATCTATCTCCATGCCTGTACACTCGTTCTTTGCAACTTTCGCATCCTCCTGGTTCTCGAAGTACACGAAACAAAATCCTCGAGAACGACCAGTCTGGAATAAAGTTCAATGATAAACAGCTGAAGAACATGTTTTATTGTACAAAATCTCTGCTGGTTAGTAAGTGTCCAGCACTTGACCTCATGTTTGTAACCATATTTTTAATCCCATAAATAAAAATTTACTATATTAGTAGAACTTAGATTAAAATTCAAGGTCTTGAAGTATGTCAGGTTAGTAGAAAAATGTAAAATATATGTGGAATAAATAGGTAAACAAAACAGCTTCTCACCTTAGCATCAATGACAACTTGAACTTTGTCCACGGGTCCATATTTAGAGAAGATGTGGTTGATCTGCTGTTCTGTAGTGTACAGACTCAGTCCGAACACGCCGAGACATCTAGACGGCGTGGGATTCTCCTGTTGACGGTACATGGGGTCTATTTTCTTGTAGGCGAGCTTTACTCGTTATAACTTTCGGAACTACTAAAGATTGTTTTGTTTTATGTTCTCTTTAGTTTCCTGTTTTGAATAAACAGTCCAGTATTTCCTGTATTACTCAAAATCATGTGTTCTTAACACCAAATATTTTTCAAATTTTCAGTGATCCAAACTTCATTCATGACAACAGATACTAGAATTTAAAAAAAAAGTTTGTAGTAATCAAGATCAAAAAAATTTAAAAGATCACATGCATTAATTCTATTTTTTCAATATTGAATTTAAATGGGGCTATGCATTAAGTGCATTTCAATTCAAATAGTATTTTAGTGCCCTATCTTAATACTAGTTTCTTAAATCTAAATTGTGCAATTGGCCTTTGGGGGGAATATTGTGACAAAAATGATTTGTCATAAAAATTAGCCAATTGCTATGACGAACATTCCTCTGAAAGTCGTCTTCCATATGTATGACAGCAAACAGTTGTGCTTGCTATCAACATTTCTTTGTTGCTTCAGCACACAATGGCCAATGTTTATGTATTTATTTTGAGGATGACTTTATAACACACTTAATGTAAATTCTCAAGAAAACAAGAACATGGGCCACTCTGTACAAGCCTTGGCATGCGGGGACAACTTAAAACTAATGGATTTGGAATAATTATAAAAGGTATTCACATAAACATCGCTCCTCACCCTGTCACCCATATGACGGCGACGCGAGGACATAGGGCTGTGGCTGTGGGAGCGGCGATAGGAGCCCCGCGGCGAGTACGAGCGACTGCGGGAGCGGGAGTACCGCGAGCGGTACCCGCGCCGCGCAGACCCCGACCGCGACCGCGACCTGGAGGCGGACCTAGCGTCAGCGGGAACGCTCATTTAACATGCAACACACACAAAGCCAATGCCTCAAGCTAAGCTGCTTTCTGGTGATCGGGTCTATTGAATTTTGACATTTGCCTCTATATTAATAAATGGAATGATGACAGTAACATTAACAACATCTATTTTCCTCAAATGAATTTGTAGTTAAAATTACACTTTCATCATATTTATAAAATAGTCCCCTATACATTCCATCTAACCTGGGAATCGAACCCAAGATAGAATGTATTCTTCTCTACTAAAGTACAAAATCAACAAGGACGCAATTGAAGTAATAGCTAAAACAAAAATCAATATTGATAATTTCCAACATTTGAATAGATCATAAAAAAAAACAAATATTCATCAATAAATGTCAAAATCCAATATCAATATCAACTTTGGACTTTATTCTTTTAACATTATGACTTGTTCAATAAAAGATAGTACACAAAAATTGTTGCTATGGTTTCTTGAACACAATGTTATTGATTATAACATGAATGACAACTACTTAAGTAATTGTATCCTTCAAACTTAGGGAAAGTTTAAAATAATCAATAATATTGTGAACAGGAATGCAAGATAAAGCAGTTATTTGCTGTAACACAACACACACACTGTTAATATTAATAATGTGATTATAACAGGATATTGTTAACAAAAATATAGAATAATGAGCCTGCTATATTAATATTGTAGTTATAGGATGGGTAACACTCTTGAATGTTTCAAATATGATACAATTATGCACCTAGTCTACATTACATCGAATTCTTGTAAAGCTAACCTCAATTTCCATTAATTAGGAGATTAGCTAAGCATTCTTAATTATACATTAATGCTTCCTAATTTGACAAACTTGTTTTCCTAAAAATAGGCCACTCCAAATGTTCTCATAACTAGCCCGAGATTGTTGTGTGATAGAAATATGACATGTGGTATTTAATTTTGTCTTCTGTTAGATTATGGGCCTATGGGTCTTTCTTTCTTAAATTAATGCTGCGATGATATCATTTAGCTAGGTATTTATATACAATACTAAGATCTTTGTTTATAAAACAGGCGTACTGTTTTAACATTGCAGATAGCCTAGGTGTAGAAGTCTATTTGAAATAACTTGAACAACATTTTACAACCATAGATTGATTTAGAGCCTAATTCATAAATAGATTTAGATTATGAAATAATAATTTCTACTTTCTTTACTACTTTCTTATCAGCACGGCGCGCAGTTTTTCCCCCCTCCCAAACAAGTTGATAAAACTGTTGCCACGATATTTGTGTTGCTACCGAAAACAAATAATTACAATTCCCATCAGATATCACCTTAGGATTAAAATGAATCGCTAAAATATCTGCAAGGTCGAAGACTAGAATAAATGACTACAAAATGCGAACTTCCGAGATGTGTAAACTATGTTTGAGTTTAACGATACACACCATTGCGCAACACGCGAACGAGCGTTACCCTTGAGATCGAGGTTATAAAGTATTCGTTAGTTTAATAACTTACAATGCCAAAACGTCACATGTTTAATGTTAGTTAAAACAAGCTTCCCAACCCAATATATAGAATCAACACTTACGGGCTCCTATATTTTCTGCTCGATGCTTTTGGCGGGGGCGGCGTCCTAGACCGGCTTCGGCTATGGCCCCGCGACATAGCGGCTGGCTTGGGTGCCGGCTCTCGAGACCCGTTACGAGTCCTGGAACGACTCCTCTGAAAGCACCGAAATGATATTTTCTTTATTAATTATAGAACGATCCGCCGACAAAATAAAACACACGCGGCGGGAATGCGACACGGACGTGACAAACTAAAGTTAAATATAGTACCTCTCGATCCGACATGTTATCCAACGTGATGAATACAGTGAATAAAAAGAAAACAAAACGTTTTCAATCTATTTTTGAATGTATCAATTTGAAATAAAATTTTGCGAGCACACCTCAGTCGCACACAGCAAGAAACGAAAAACAAAATGGCGTTAGTTAGGGTTGTCATCTAACGATGCTCATTTCATTTGCAAAGACTATGAGCAAATTTTATTTATAGCAACATTAAGTAGTGATTCCTGAACAATTTTTTTAGATGACATAACACTACTCTGTGCGTTACTAAACGAAAGTAAATCTGTCAGTTATATCGATTGTACAATCGTTTTCGTATCCACATCACATTGCGGAATGTGGATTGAGTTACTTATTGGTTGGATTCGTACTTTATTTAATTTCTTTTATAATTTCTATTTTAATTTCAATATGACTGATAAGGCGGTACAAGATGGTTCAACAGGGGACCAGCCCCAAGAGAAGACTGCAAAACAACTCGAGAAAGAAGCAAAAAAGGCTGCAAAATTAGAAAAACTTAAAGCAAAGTTGGATAAAAAGAGTGCTGCGCCAGCTGTGCAGAAAGATAAACCAGAGGTTCGTGTTGGAGGATTTAAAATTATTGGCAATGCATACTGTTAATAGCATACCACTTATTTGTTTGTTAATTTTACCGACAACATTGTATGTTTTGGTATTATTTAAGTCATGCTTTGTGCCAACAAAATTCTTAGGTTAATAATGTTAGCCGACTTCTCCTGGTGAAAGTAATGCCAGTGTGTGTTGTGTCATTCTAATTGTCACTCAAGATAAGTGATCATTACGCATGAATTGAGATCACTGGCTTGTATAGTAGTTTTAGAAAATTATTACCATTTCATTTATTAGCAATACGGTGACTCATATTGTATAAATGTAAATTGTAGTATTCATTTCCAAAATGCATGTACATCTGAAAAGAAAATCCTAGCCTGGAAATATTAACAACTCAAAAACTTGTACGGCATCATTTGATTCATTAATCTACGACATAATAAATATTATTTATCAGTATACACATCTTAAGATATGTTTCTAACATTATCAACTTATGATTTATGCCTTCTAATATATTGTTCACAGAAAAAAGTAAAAGAATTAAAAGAGGGTGCAGTGTACACAGCTGAAACTGCTCCGGGTGATAAGAAGGATATTACATGTTCAATGCCTGATGCATACAGCCCGCGATATGTTGAGGCAGCCTGGTACTCTTGGTGGGAGAAGCAGGGCTTCTTCAAACCAGAATATGGAGTAAGTATAATTATTTGAATTATTTATTATTATAAAACTTATCCTATTGTTTTATTATTTTTTTTAAATACTCATACTTCTTATTACTGTCTTGTTTGTCAGAATACCATAGATTCTAAGAAAGAGGTGAAATGTCTTATCCTATTGTTTTAATTTTTTTTAAACTTAAACTTCCTATTGGTGTCTTGTTAGCCAGTATACCTACCATAGATTCTAAGAAAAAGGTGAAATCAATATGTCTATGAGGAAAATAACAAGGTTTAGGTGGCAATCTGCTATCTTCATATTGAAGGAAAGAATATAATTAATAATATTACATCTGAGCAAATAGAATAATTTCAATATTGATGTTTTTCTCATTTACAGCGCAAGTCTGTCCTTGAACCAAACCCGAAAGGAAAGTTTTCAATGATAATTCCACCTCCTAATGTAACCGGAACACTTCACCTTGGCCATGCTCTCACCAATGCTGTACAGGATTCTCTCACACGGTGGCATCGGTAAGTCAAAATAAACATTAATTTTACTTTCTCAAATCATGCATAATCTCATATCATAAATCTTAGGGACATATTTTATGTACTTGTGTTTACACCATGGTGGAGAAATAGTGCATAGAGTGTTCATCATGATCAACAAATACTGAATGAATGCATCCTCTGTTATGTATGGTTTAGTTATGTGGGTACTTGCTTACTTTATTGAATTATAAAGTTAAGTATAGTGTAGGTTCCGCGCACGCCTCAAAGAGCCAATAGACCACCACTGATGTTAGCCAGGGGTTGCGGGGTAAGCGCAATGAGGCACCGCGACCTCGGCTGAGAGCAGGAGAAGAAACAGGGGGATTTTTAGTCAGTAAGAGTCGGACACTCTCTCTCGCCTTACGCTGGGCGGGAGAAGTCATTGGATGATTTTCCCCTGACAAAAAAAAGTATAGTGTAGGTAGACCTAATAGGTGTGACAGTCTTGATTCCTTCATTACATGACAAATGCTACCTAGCATGTTTTATTTACGGGAAGTTCTCAAATGGAGGTCACATACAGCTAAACACAACATACTACATTTGGGCATTATAATTCTTTTGCCTGTAGTTATATTTATGATCTAATAGCATTTTTCAATCTCATTGTTTGTATTCTTAAAGCAATCTTTACTTTAAGTGGCTAATTATAACTGTATCAAGAAAATAGAACTTAAAGTCACATGTAATAAGTGTAGTTTTCCCTTGTTGACAGAATGAACGGCAAGACGACACTGTGGAACCCAGGGTGTGACCATGCTGGTATAGCCACGCAAGTGGTGGTGGAAAAGAAATTGTGGCGTGAGGAAAAGAAGACCAGACATGATATTGGTAGAGAGGACTTTATCAAGAAAATCTGGGAGTGGAAGGAACAGTAAGTCTTTTTATTTTATTAAATCCATGGACCATGTGTAGTTTATCCTATTTGACATTGTACATAACAATATAGGAGTAAGTAACAATAGAACACCAAATAGAACTCAATTGTGACCAACCTCTTTCGCTTATTTTGTACAAATACATTTCTTCCTGGATAAAGTAATCATGAATTGTACATTTGACATAAATTGATTGAGTTTTCATTTTATATGTACCTTTGCTTAAGCTATTTAAATTATCTACGCGAATATGACGTATGCTTAAGCATACAAATATGACTTATGCGAGTTCTTCGGCGCCCCATGAAAAACTTGTACTAAGGGCATAGCTAACCTAATCTTCTCGCGGTTTCAATGAAATGAGATAACCCAAGTGCGATGGTAATACCTACAAACATTTGGCAACATCCTCCCCCCCCCCCCCCCCAATTCGTAAAGAAGTCCCATATCCCACCTGTGGACTCTATCCAGCAGTTGATGCTAATACCAAGCTTCATTGATATCCTCAGAAAAGGCGTGCGTATCTACGAGCAGCTGCGAGCTCTCGGTTCGTCTTACGATTGGTCCCGAGTCCGCTTCACAATGGACCCGGCTATGTGCAAACCGGTTTACGAAGCCTTCATTCGTCTACATGACTCTGGCGACATCTACCGGGCCAATAGACTAGTCAACTGGTCCTGCACGCTCAAGAGTGCGATATCAGACATCGAAGTTGATAAAGTTGAATTAAATGGAAGAACATTGATGAGTATACCCGGATACGAGTCGAAGGTAATTTTATCTACTTTTTGTTAGAGTGAGATTGCAAGAGATGCAGTTGGGACGATTGACTCATAATTAATTTAGAGTACCTTAGGAAACCTGAACTTATAATTTCTAATTATAAGTTTGAAATTGCCAACCTGCATTGAGCAAGCCTGGTGATTATTGCTCTAACCTTCTCCGTGTCAGAAGATGCCTTTGCTCAGCAGTGGGCACTTATAGGCTGATGATGATGATGAATTATAAGTTTGAAATCGCAAATCCGCCTTGAGCAAGTAATAATTAAATTAATGCTCAATGCCTTCTCTGTGTGAGTAGAGGGTTTTGCTCAGTAGTGGGCATTTATAGGCTGAAGATGATGTAATTCAACAGTTTACACAGCAAATATTAGAGATTTCTTAAAGAACTAGGGAATTTGAATCAGTTGGAAAAGCTGGACACTTATTTCTAATGCTAATCTGAGTCCCGTTTGTAGGTAGAGTTTGGTGTGCTGGTGTACTTCGCGTACCGGACGACTGACGGTAAGGATGAGATAGTGGTCGCCACCACCCGTGTGGAGACCATGCTCGCTGATGCCGCCGTCGCCGTCAACCCCAAGGACGAGAGGTATGTGCTCCTGAAATGTAAGCTCTAGGTATATTCATCCTATCCAGGGTTGCAACTCCAATATACATAAGTCTTAGTTTTACTTAGTGTCTTTATTAATTCGTCGCGTATTTCTTTATTTAAAATGCTTTTAATATATTTGTAATCAAAGTCAAATCCTTATTTTATTTTAATTTGAGCAATATAAAGCTCTTCGAACGCCAAAAAATATTTTACAAATGTCATTCTGTCTGTCAATCACCTAGTGGTTTTTTCCTCATTTCGAAGTGTGTAACCCCTTGGTTATTTTTTGTCTCGTTAGTTTTGCAAACAAACCTTTGTTATAATTAAAAAAAAAACGTTAAAAAACAAAATAGCAATTTTAACGTTATTCAGTATGATCTATTGTGATACGAACGATACCTATATTTTGTTCGCAGATACAAGCACTTGGTGGGCAAGAAACTGAAGCATCCATTCATTGACAGAGAGATTCCAGTCATCACAGATGACTCTGTAGACCTGGAATTCGGAACTGGTTAGTACATAACCTTTTAAATCACGAAGTTGTAAAGAGAATGTTTAAAAATCATTCAATATGTGCTAGTAACATTAAAGGACCCATGCGATTATAGGCGAGATTTGGCCTCCGGTAACCTCACTCATACGGTGAAACACAACTCTGTGGTTGTTTCATGCCAGCTTTTTGTGAGGCTGTGGTATCACTCCGGTCGAGCTGACCCATTCGTGTCGAAGCATGGCTCTCCCATACTTATATGCACCCACCTACCCCGCTTAAGCCTACCGTAAATTAGGGAAGAAAATGTTCTGTACTTAACGGAACATTTTCGAAAAAGAGTTTAGAGGGACAGGAAGAAGAAGAGAAGGAGAGAAGAACTGCCCGAACCACGGAGTAAGAACAAAGAGGAGATGTCATAATTAGATTTCCCTAAGAAACACCGCGTGATATTTTGCGGGGTGAGGGGGTATTAGACTCCGCCCACTTTTTTATTTGCCATCTGCCGGTCTATAGCAATACTACTCGCTCATTCAATTTACTTCTTTTTGTAGTTATGTAACTATTTCACAATAGATGTCACTGACGCAACGGGGTCGTACTTAAAACTTACCGGGGAGTTGTTTTAAAAAGTTTTTTGTAAATACATTTGCGAATCATCTTGATACGCATTTTTTTATTGAAATAGTAATAAATATCTAAAATATCTATTATTGATGAATGAGAATCATTATACATTTATCAAAACCATCTTTTTCATTTAAAAGGGGTTATTTCGTTGCGGGCCCAGCCTGAAGCAGAAACTCGTATACAATGCTACCAAGAGGCTGATGCCCTGCTGATAGCTGGTTCTTTGTGATAACGAGTGTTATTATTAGATAGGTATGCCATTAGTTTACTAATGTGTAACTTGGAACGGCATATTATTATGCGTTTAGACTAGTGCCATCTTCAAACATACGATTCAGGGATGCGTCGACGAAATAAAAGACTCCAAGTGTATCTTCATAGGTCTTGAAGGGACAAGGCCTCTATCTACGATAAAACTACTAGCGGTCCGGTACGTGCTTCACTACGTTCAAGTATATCATAAAATATAATCAAAAATATATTATTATGTTCATTTAACAAAAAAAAAATGTTATCGTTTGCTATGTAAAACTCTAAACGAGTCAAAAGATATATTCTTGAAAATTAATGGCATTGATATAAATGTTCTTTGGTGCTATTGTCTGATAGTGTGTTCTGTGAACTAGGTAATCATTTCTGCAATTCTGAAGAATATTCGGAAAAACACATTCAATCAACTCATCTATAGATTGCGCAATTGTATAAAAAATATTCGGTAAAATGACCGATCCGTCGGTACTGTCAATAGGTATTTTGCCATCACCAATCCAAACTAATATTATAAATGCAAAAGTAAGTCTGTCTGTCTTTTCTTTACGCCTAAACTACTGAACCTATTTGAGTGAAATTTGGTACAGACATAGTTTGGAACTCGTGAAAGGACATAGGATAGTTTTTAAACCCAAAATCTACAGGAAGTCACTATTCCAAGCGAACAAAGTCGCGGGCAAAAGCTAGTTTCTAATAATTGTTTTGAAAAGTCATGGGCAGTTGCATCATTACGTAGCTGAATACGCATTATTACTAAAGTTCAGTGTCAATTTTCGTATATATCTCCAAATAACTGATGACTTCAAACAGGTTTTTCATCAGCAGGAGTTGATCGAGGAATGACAGGCAATGTTTGACGAAAGCCTCCTGACAGCAATATCAGAGCACCACGAAAAACCTGTTGAGTACCGCGTAAATTTTGCATGGTTCGATTAAATGCTTCTATTGATTTTTTATTCGCCATTGTGTGAGTGCATCCCGTAAAATAATTAACGTTAGTTGCAAAACTTTTGCCATAGCAAAATTTCTCGAAATATTACAAGTTGCACTTTAAATTACCTGTACATTCAATAGCAATGCTAATGAAGAGTCTGCGGTCCTAGCACCTTCTAATAATGTAACAGCAATCGTCTTAATTTGCATTACAGGTTCGCCGGTTTTACCTCAACAATATTTTGGATCATAAAAACACAAAACAATAACTCAACAATATTTTGGAACAATAACGAACATTACATCTAATTAACTAGTGGTATGTTAAATGCTATTCCAAAGTTAATAATACCGCCAGATTCTTCATATATAACACATCCTAATTATCTTCACGACTGTCATAGGTACTATTTACCATGAAAAACGAACAAAACCTGCCCTAATGTGACGACATATTTCGAAATAAACGAACGATGGAACAAAAAGATATGTACGAAGGACAGAGTATGTTGTGGGCATTTCATAGGCTTACCGGCGATACATATCTGAGTTGTATGATCCAAGTCCTGATGCCTTTAATTTGGGGTTGAAATAAAAACCGAAGAGGAACTTTAGAAGTATAAATAAGGTCGTTCAGTTTCAAACACTCAGGCACTAAGATTTAGCACTCACAGCGTGCGATGAGGTGCGCTAAATTTGAGTGATTCCATTCGCGACTTAAATAAATCAACGATACCTATAAACCTTAAAAAGTAATTGACTCCTAATTACTGCCCTGTCTTTATTTATGTTTTACTACTTGACAATAGATGGCTGTCTGTTTATAAAATGATATAAAAGTTGCATAAATAATATTTTGGCGATTAAAGGATCTTTAGGAATGCATGTCGATCAAATTACTATACAAACGATCATTAAAATATACTGATACTGAACTATGCGTACCTATAAAAATTTTGTTTCTATGACACAAAGTGTCGACATCTAGTGTCGCGTAGATTGATAATTGGAAACGCTGACAATAAGAGACCTTGCTAGAACTATTTTAATAAATGACGAATAAAATAACTTATACATGAAAAGTGATGCCATGCATAGCACCGTAACGTTTATCATAGTATTTTTACAAGATAAAACACAAGACTTTATTTTGTTTTCTTCTGTCACGAGTAAAATGAATATTTTATAGGAGTTGTGCACAGGACGAACGACCACATTACAATGACGTAAGCCACGCCCACATTGATGACGTGAGGGCCGACTTGTGTCACAGGGCCGAGTTGTTTAGGCCGTCTCTTCTTTGTTCTTACTCCGTGGCCCGAACTATAGAATATTTTGAGAATTCACTTAGTCAATTTTTAGAGCTCGATATATTGCGTGCATAAAAACCGTCTATATAGCTCTAAAGATTTTAGACCAGATAAGGTCCTATCTTATAACTTAATGTATGTACTTGCAAAGAAAACTAAATTAAAAATAATTCCAGGTGCCGTAAAGATCTCGCCGGCGCACGACCAGAATGACTACGAGATCGCGAAGCGCCACAACCTGCCCTTCATCAACATATTCACTGATGACGGCAACATGGCGGCCAACTGTGGACAATACTCAGTAATTATATGTTTATATTTTTCTTATACCTAATAGAATAATAGAATAATAGAATATTATAGTGCACCTTTTTTGATAGGGAAGAATCATCCATTGTCTTTTCCCTCCCTGTATGGAGATAGACGGAGTTTTATACTCTTTCTGATTAACAGCCTCCCCGTTCCTTCTCTTGCCAGGTTAGCCTGGCATGTTATATAACTACTTAGACTCGCAAACCCGGTTATAGCACATTATAATTTAGTCTCCCAATCAAAAGTCTAAAAATACAAAATTATTTAGAAGTATATTTAAAATACACAAGCAACATGTTTTAGTGTGTGTGGACCAATCACATTAAATTCTCTACATCGTGTTATAGCAGTTCTTGACGCAATTAGAATAGGTACAAATTCCCGACAACAACCATAGGGCAGTAGCTCACCAGGCATGATCACCTAGTCGGGTCAGAGGATCCTTCCTCTTTAATGGAGGATCGACGACCTTACACCTAGTTCTCTCATCCCTCCGAATGTGATAACTTTCGTTACGCAGTCATGTTTTGTATTTCGAAGTATAGGAAAGTCATGCTTAATGGGACGGCTCGCTTTCCCCCTTTTCTGTATACACAAATGTCATACCTTACACCAAATCCTTTATATGCTCCCCCAAATATGTCTCTTAATTGCAATTTGGTCGTTGTCCAGGGTTGGAAGCGTTACGACGTGCGTCGCAAGATAGTGGAGGCCCTGTCCCAGCACGGGCTGTACAAGGAGACCAAGGAGCACGCCATGGTGGTCCCGCTCTGCAGCCGCTCCAAGGATGTCGTCGAACCCATGCTCAAGCCGCAGTGGTCAGTATACATACTCATATTATTACATCAGATTGCATGATAATTCCCAAAAAGTGTTCGACTCGACCGTAGTGATGACCATGAGCTCAAAGAAAACTGATGTCAAACACTGTTTGCGCTGTCTTACAGTGCATGTGCAACTGACTTCTTTGCAACGTATTGCGGGTTTGATTCCCACACGAAAGAACTATGTTTGTTCCACTTACGGTTTTTTCGAGTCGGACTTGCATACGCACTGCCGATACAGTAGAAAACTTTACTGTGGGGTAATATATAATTTAAATGTTTCCTTTCTTTGCTTAATGACTTCAATAACACAGGTACATAAAATGCGACAACATGGCGGCTGAGGCCATCAAAGCCGTAAAGACAGGCGAGTTGAAGATCATCCCGGACATGTACGAGAAGACCTGGTACCACTGGATGGAGACCATCCGCGACTGGTGCATCTCCCGGCAGCTGTGGTGGGGGCATAGGATACCTGCCTACAGAGTCACGTTACCTGGTGCTGCGGTGAGTGTTACATAAATATACCCTTCTGTAATTGTTAAGTAGAATCAAGATCATTAAGTATCAAGGCTAGTGTGGGAAAACAATGCTTCGGTAAGAATTGGCTGGCTCATTCGTGAAGATACCACTCCATACCACGGCCTCTTAGAACACCGGCGTAAAATTTCACTTACACGGCGAAACACAACGCTCGCTGGTTTATTCACGCCTATTATTAATGAGTCCGTGATATCACTCCGGTTAAGCCGACCCGTTCGTGCCGAAGCATGGGTCTCCTACACTTGGTTAAGTAATGGCTCAGTGTGTCAAAATCACTGTATTATTTTTTACTTACAACTGAACGTCTTGTCATCTATTATGTGAGAGTTAGACAGTATGGAATACACTGCACCTCATTTAAACCAAGGGGTCGACCAGAATCTCGTCATACTCTCCATCTATACAACTATATGTATATTCTTGAATTCCTTAAAGGCTGTTTACCCTAACAACTTGATGGTATGAAATAAATAAAATACCAGACCAGGCGTCTTTGAGTAATCGGTGAACATACATAAAAAAATATATAAAAAAAGATTCCGACGAATTGAGAACCTCCTCCTTTTTTTTGAAGTCGGTTAAAAATGACCCTTATGACCACTGTCAGAATGACGAGGAGCTCTGGGTGTCAGCTCACACTGAAGCGGAGGCGTTGGAGAAAGCCGCGAAGAAGTTTAACGTTCCTGCTAAGGACATTAAGCTAGCTCAGGATGAAGACGTTCTCGACACCTGGTTCTCCGCCGGACTCTTCACTTTCTCCATATTCGGATGGCCCGACCAAACTGAGGATCTGCAGGTATGTGTAATTCGGTAGAATATTTGATTAGGTAGTTGTACCTAACTACGCTGGTTATAAGAATATTTTAAACAAGTGCCCGGGTATCATTACCTACACCTATGCAATACGAGATAATGGTATCTGTTATATAAAAATCTTAAAATTACGATTTACTAGCTACTCCCGCGCGGTTTCACCCGCTGCTCGGCTCCTACAAATCTTAGCGCGATGTTTATAGCCAATAGCCTTACTCGATAAATGGACTCATATGAGCATAAAAAGAATAGTTCAATTCGAACCAGTATAGTAGTATATATTAGTAGGTATAGATTTCTCTTCATAAATATAGTCATTTTTCTCTTTATTTTTTTGATAAAAATAGGATTTTATAAATCTTAACGGGTATCATGTAATTAATATACTGTATGTGGCCAGGCTTTCTACCCTGGATCCCTTCTGGAGACCGGTCACGACATCTTGTTCTTCTGGGTCGCTAGGATGGTGTTCTTCGGACAACGTCTCCTTGGTAAACTGCCCTTCAAGTAAGTACTATTTATTATTATCATTATCTATAATTTCTTGCCAGAAATTATTGTACTTTAAATAAATATTATACATAAACTATATTTAAAAAAAGGCTACCGCCCGCGACTTCGTATCGTGATTTTAGAATCTGCAGTGTTTAAAGCGGTAGCTCGGCTAAATTACGCAAATCAAGTATAATTTATAGCCTATAGCACTTAGGAACATTGTACCTATCTATCAGTGAAAGAATTTTGTAAATTCGACTTATACTTTTTCTAAAGATAACCCCCCTCATACAAACTTACAAAGTTTACCTCTTTATCCAAACTAATATTATAAATGCGAAAGTAACTCTGTCTGTCTTTTCTTCACGCCTAAACTGCTGAACCGATTTCTGTGTTTGGTAAAGACATGTTTGGAACTCGAAGAAGAACATAGGATAATTTATATACCAAAAATCTGCAGGATATCACTATTCCACCCGAACGGAGTCGCGTGCAAAAGCTAGTAATATTATAGTATAGAAAAACAACAAGTCCTTCTTGTGCTCCACATATCTCTTTCATCCAATGTTTCCTTTCAGAACAATCATAATTCAAATCCGCAAAATAAATAATGTAAATAAGTATAATTCACAATGCAATTACAATTCTAAGTTTAAAAACGTTCCACAGGGAAGTCTATCTCCATCCGATGGTCCGCGACGCCCACGGCCGTAAGATGTCCAAGTCTTTGGGTAATGTCATTGACCCAATGGACGTGGTGTTCGGAGTGACCTTGGAACAGCTTCACAAACAACTGGAAGAGTCAAACCTCGACCCACGAGAAGTGGAGAAGGCCAAGCAAGGACAGAAACAGGACTATCCTAATGGTATTCCGGAATGTGGCACTGATGCACTTAGGTAAGAAGTATGTGTGTGTCTAGTAAAACTAGGAAAAAAGACTGCATGGTTCGTTCAGTGGCTGGGCAACTGGCTGCCGCGCAACGTGTCGCGGGTTCGTTTCCGCATGGAAGAACTCTGTGTGTTCTACAAATTGTTGTTCCGGGGCTAGGTGTGATGTGTATGTGACGTGTATGTAAACGCAATCACGACACAGAAGAAAATCCTAATTTGGGGCAACGATTAAAAAAGTCTTAATGTAATTGATACTCAGAACGCTGTAGTCAGGACTATTAATTAACCTTCTCTACATAATGTTAATTCAACAATGGTAAACAAACGTAATTTTAACTTTGCGCAAATTTTGCGCAAAATTCGATACCACATTTCTAGTATCAGTTAGTTAATGGAGAAAATATTCTAGCTGTTATCGCCACCTATGCTCGACAAATCTACTTTTAAAATGTCACAGTATCTCTTCTGACCAATATTTGTACTGGTATCTCTTCCAACTGAACTGAACTTCAGTGGACGCCCTCTGCCCCATCTAGGGGACACAGGATATTAAGTCAAGTAAGTCATCTCTTCCAAAATGATAACGTTGTCTTCTTCCAGGTTCGCTTTATGCGCTATGACACAAGGCCGGGACTTGAACTTGGACATTCTTCGCGTACAGGGATACCGTTTCTTCTGCAACAAGCTGTGGAACGCCACCAAGTTCGCGCTGCTATACTTCCCCAAGGACACCGTGTATGAGGTCAGTTATTCTAAGATTTTAATACCCCAACATTTGCCATTAAATCTCATATCAAGTAGTAAAGCTTTTTGTGTAACCTTTTGTTTTCCTTCTAGTGAATTAACCGACTTTGTAAACTACAAGGTTAAGTTCGCTCATGTTTTAAGTAAAATGGTTGAAAATAGTTATGGCCTAAGAAAAAATATGTTTCTTTGTGTAAGTGAAAGTGGCTCTAATCCCACGGTTATTAGGCACATAATGACACCCATGATCAAACTGTTCCGAGGCCATGTGCTTCTATGGCCGTCGGAGCGCGCCACCTCCAGGTGGGTCCCAAGTAACGGCAGGAGGAGTTACCATCGGCGTCGAGTCGGCGATGAAGTACCTGGGTCTCGTCCTCGACAGCCGATGGAACTTCACGGAGCATTTTCGTCGTTTGGCCCCTAAGTTGGAACGGTCTGGGGCCGCGCTCAAGCGGCTCCTTCCCAACCTCGGGGGGCCAAACGCCTCCTGCCGGAGGTTGTATATGGGGATTGTGCGATCCATGGCCCTCTACGGTGCCCCTGTGTGGGCGCCGGACTTGAAGCGGCGGCCGGCTCGTACGCTGGTCGCGTCCCAGAGGGTCATGGCTATACGAGTAATCCGCGGGTATCGCACGATCTCCGGGGAGGCGGCGAACCTCCTTGCCGGATCACCGCCGTGGGATCTAGAAGCGAAGGCGCTCGCGCGCGTCTACAGTTTGCGCGCAGACGCGCGTAGCCGGGGCGAAGATCCTTTGCCGCGCCAAATAAGTGCGTGGCGGAATGAGCTCCGGCGAGATCTCATGGCAGAGTGGAGACAACGACTGTCGCAACCGAGGGCCGGGCACGCTACCATAGCAGCGGTAAGACCCCTCTTTGAGGAGTGGCTTGAGAGACGCCACGGCGTCCTCACCTTCCGTCTGACGCAGGTGCTTACCGGGCACGGCAGCTTCGGTAGGTTCCTGTTTCGGATTCAGCGGGAGGAAACGCCCGAGTGTCGTCATTGTGAGGACCACCTAGAGGATACGGTGGAGCATACGGTAGCGGTATGCCCTGCCTGGGCTGAGCACCGCCGTATCCTCAGGGAAGTGATCGGCGGCGGCGACCTCTCGCGCCCGGCCTTAGTCGAGGCCATGGTGCGGAGTGAGAGGAACTGGGACGCCGTCTCCTCCTTTTGTGAAGCAGTCATGCTCGCAAAGAGAGAGGCGGCCCGCGTGAGGGAGCAATCCTCCTCCTCACGCCCCAGCAGCCGCAACTGGCGACACTACGGGCGTCGGGGATCGAGGGACGATCTCCGGCCACCGTAAGTACGGGCCTGCGGTCGGCGAGTAAGGGCAGCTCGCCGCCCGACCAGAACCAGGCCCGAGCGTACGGCGCGTAGCGTTCCGCGCGCGCCTCAAAGAGCCAATAGACCACCACAGACGGGGCCCTAAAGGGCTGATGTTCAGCCGGGGTTGCGGGGTAAGCGCAATAAGGTACCGCGACCTCGGCACAGAGCAGGAGAAGGAACAGGGGGGTTTTTAGTCAGTAAGAGTCTGACACTCCCTCCTGCCCGGCCCTGGGCGGGAGAAGTCATTTGATGATTTTCCCCTCACAAAAAAAAAAAAAAAAAAAAAAAAAAAAAAAAAAAAAAAAAAAAAAAAAAAAAAAATGATCAAACTGTGACTTTTCATTACTAATATTTACAAGTGAGTTTTTTTTATATTATTGGTTGAGTTACGTTTACACTTGACGAATGACTTCTACTGCCCTGGTTGGGGCGAGAGAGGTGGTCAGAATTTTACTGACTAAAATCACCCAGTCTCTTCACCTGCTTCGGGCCAGGGCCACGGAACATTATTGCCGAGTAACAGGCGCTTAATATTTATTTACTTTTATTTACATCTAGGTCCACACACCATCGTTACCGAGCAATCTATCCGCGATGGACAAGTGGATGTTGTCCCGCATTGCGTACGCCGTGAACAAAGTGAACGCCGGGTTCGAAGCGTACGACTTCCCGGCCGCCACCACGCATTGCTACAATCTATGGCTATACGACCTCTGTGATGTTTATTTGGTAAGTCTGTGCTACGTTTTATACACGATATTAGTTCTTATTACTTATGAAATAAGGTAATGTGTAATTAGCACTAAGTAATTGTATAGTCTACACAGTATGCAACTATTAAAAAATAAAAATTTTAAAAGTAGACATGCATATTACAAACTGAGTAATTATATTGAGGATAAAAATGCTTGGAGACAGGTTGGTCCTGCTCCACAAGAAAATAAATAAATGTTCCAGTGGATTTTTGAACGGATTTTTTTTCCTGGACGGAACTACTCAAATTTTGTAAAATTGCAACCATGCCACTTAAATTGTCAAACATGATATTTTTGTAAATGCTATTACAATTGGTTAGAGTTGTCATGCTCACTCAAAGGTCACAGTGCCGGTGGCACGGGCGCTGGATTGCTCGATTCCCTATAATATATAGAGTTAGGCGATGCTGGTGTACGTCCCATGTTCGTGAACAAGCGCCGTTTATTGGGACTGGTCAGTTCGTGAGCACAGAGAGGTCCATATACTCATATTGATCGCCCATTTACTTGTATCCCAGGAATACCTAAAGCCAGTATTCGCGTCTGGCTCTGAAGAAGCGCAGGCGGCGGCGCGCCGTACCCTGTACACCGCACTGGAGCTAGGCCTCAAACTGCTCAGCCCCTTCATGCCGTTCCTCACTGAGGAGCTGTACCAACGACTGCCCAGGAAGGACACCAGCTGTCCTTCTATCTGTGTGGCTAGCTATCCTACTGTAAGTATCTTATACATCTTCCTTTATAAATTGTATACTATTAATATTTTATTCATGTTATTAATTTGAACTCCTCTTTACATTATTTTGACTTTTGAACCTCGTAACTTCCAAAAGACTTTTTGTGTTATTCCAATTTCAAAAACGTTTGCGCTATTTGCGCAAAAAGCTAAAGGAACTCAACAATAATTTTAGATACAATATTATAATTTTAAATCATTTTTATTATTATTTATATAGGACGCCGACACGCCCTGGAGGTCTGAAGAATTAGAATCTAACGTAGACACAGTACTCAAAATGGTGCACTTAATAAGGTCTACTCGTTCCGAATATAACTTGGCCAATAAACAGAAGACCACGGCCCATCTCATCATTGCCGAGGACCTGCCGGTGGAAACCCTGAAGGGACTATTCAGGAGTCTGCAGTCCTTGGCGTATAGTGAATTGTCAGATGAGGAGCCTCCTGTTGGATGCTCTATCCTCACCGTATCCGATAAGATTGAAGTCCGTCTTGTATTGAAGGTATGCTGTTGTTTCTTTCAAAGTTAGTTTTTGAATGTCCTTACGGCAGATACTATAATATGGCCCATTTTTTTAATTACGGGGGGATACCTTCAAGTTGCCTTCAACTTTTGGGGGAAAAGAACCAATAGAGATTGTGAGATTTTTACCTCAATAAAACCTCGCCGGTGGCACCATCAACACTTATAAGATAGACCGGGTCTTCTCAGTAGACCAACTCCGGAGTTCCTATGGTAACGCCTGTTACGATACATCCCTATCGATACGTACGTGACCACTGTGCCACCTCCACCTTCTTCCCTGAAGTCACTGGGTGGGCGCCTGGATTCCCCACTCTATGTCCCTTGATCCCAAAAGTTTCCCTGCTAATTTATTGAGGCAGAATAAACGGCGGTTGCTGCCTCAACAATTTCTAACTATTATACTGTGGTACTTAATCGCAGAAAGTTGTTAGAGTAGTAGAGGGTAGTTGAGTTTGGAAACCTAGTTGATTTATTTGTAAAATGACCTTAACACATTCAGTGCCCCCGACGCGTATGTGCGTTTCCTTACGCTACTCTGTGTGCCCTCGACGCACCTGTGCGTTCAATACATTAATGTACAGAATCGTGAATGTGTACTTGGTAAACAACAAACATGTTTCCACCCCCACAGGGCCTCATCGACCCGCAAAAAGAAATCGTCAAGCTAGAAAAGAAGAAAGATGCTCTGTCACAAACTATAGCCAAGCTTCAACAAGCAATGGCCGCCGAGGACTACACGACGAAGGTCCCAGCTGAAGTTCAGAAGATCAACTCAGACAAACTAGCGCAATCTCAGGGCGAGATCGAAAGGCTACAAGCCGCTATGGAGACCCTCAAACTCATGTAGATAGAACAAATTTTCCAAATCCAACCACTAATTGTAATGCAATTACCAACCTTATTCCATTTGAAATAAATAATTTAAGTTATTTGAGCTGTATGTGGTTGGTTACCGATTATTGTCGAACTGTTCTCTCAATTAATTTGTACAGAAAGTACTGAATAATTTAATTGATTTATTATAACAACCAAGTTGTTGATTTGAAGTTTAGAAAGCTCAAATTGCCTTGTTGGCTTAAAAGTCCAATTGTAGTGCTACTTCAGGATCGTCACTCCTATGTTATCTTTTTATTTGATGTACACGAATATGATGCAGTGTTTTTTTATACTTACAATATAATGCAATAAAGTACATAACAAGCAATTTATTGAATGCATTTTCTACATACAAGCATTTTTTAAATAGTCACATTCACCATAAAATAGCGTCAGTGGTCTTCTACCTCTGTGAATGCATTTTCTTCTTTTAAATAGGTTGTTTTAATTAATTCAAGCATGTAATGTACTAAGAGAAACAAATTTAATTTATTTTCATTGCAATAAAAAATTGCTTAACTACTTTTTGTGTTTGCATTCCTCTAAATATCTCCTTCCCCTACTACCCTCGTTTGCAGATCAACTTTGTTGGTTACTATGAAATCTGTAGGATACAAGTTGCGTGTAACGCTCCCAGGGCTGATGTTCAGCCGGAGTTGCGGGGTAAGCGCAATGTGTCACCGCGACCTCGGTCTAAAACAGGAGAAGGAACAGGCGTGTTGGGGGTGTTTTAGTCAGTAAGTCTGACACTCTTTTCCCTTACCCTGGGCCGGAGTAGTCATTTGATGATTACCCCTGACAAAAAAAGGTAACGCTCCGGTTACCTACCTACTGCGATATTAACATACAATATGGTTTTAAGTGTGGGAGAGGGACTTGCTTCGGCACGAACAGGTGGTCTTGACCCAAGTAATACCACAGACTCCGATTGCATACCATCAGATAATAAGCCTGCTCGTTTACCGTCCTATCATACAAAAGAACAACATAAAGTTGTATACCTAATACAACTTCCATCAAATAGTTTTCTAGTATTTTTGCACATGGAGACCTTCAATAATATAAGCTCTACAGCCCCTATCCAGTGTTCCTACAAATGTTGGAAGAACTCAGAAGTGGCCTAAGTACCAATCTAAATAAGTGAATTACCCATAGTGTTTAAGTATGTGATGGAGTACCCACCTCACCTCCATAGATTATACAGATATGTACACAATTGGTATTGGTCATTGGTAGGTAAATACAGATTACTATCAATTATGCAGTCAGTAAATGTCCCCACAAGATGATTTACATGAAATCGAAATACTCTTCGATTGATTAAAATGTTCATCCTATGGCTGCAGGTGGCAACATGTCGTTTGACGTGGAGGACTAAAGCGGAGGCCTTTGTTCAGCAGTGGACGTCTTCCGACAGTGATGATGATGTTGATGATGATGATGTTCTGCACTGGGTTCACTTGGATGGCGTGGTGGTGACATGCCATGTCGCAAAATTACGCCTCGGTTTCATACATTTGAAGCACGCGACACCACACAACATTCCACGTAAGTTTGTCTCAGGCCATGGTGGATGTATGAAACAGATAGGCGCCCTTAGTAATGCCTGAAATTTATTGCTGTGACAATCCATCCATCAAAAAACCTTTCATTCCACTCCATTTCTGAACGCAGACAATGACTGTCATTTTCACTTTACTGCAAAATTGACATTGACGTATAAAGCTCCATATCAGACACAAGATTATTTGGGATCTTAAGCCTCACTTTATGTTGTTCTTTTTGTACACCTGATAAAAGTATATAGTTATCTCTTTCTGAACATAATGTTAAATAGAAAATTATAACTGGTTTGGAACGAAAATTTCTTATTTATTTTCTGTTTTCATTTTCATTGTGCTACAGCTGAATTTCAATTTTGGTATTCTTCGGTTGTGAAAATAATTTATCGACAGAAATTACTAGGTGCCTTTGAAATTATACAAATTATTTAGGCTTGTGAAGATTTAAGATCATTACAAAAAATGGAGTTTCCTACGCTTGGTGAACACTGTCAATACCAAAATTGCAACCGGGTTGATTTTCTACCTCTTCAATGCAAGTGTGGGAAGGTATTCTGCCGGGAGCATTTTAACGAACATTGTTTGTCCGGTGAATGCGAATTAGCACCAAAACCCAAAGAAGTTAACCTCAAAAATGATGACCAAATATTCAGGTGTTCAGAGAAAGGATGCCGGAAGGGGAACCTTCATGAAATGTTGTGTCCTAAGTGTAATAAACACTTCTGTATTGAACATAGGTTTCATCCGTAAGTATTCTAGGCATTTTATATTTTTTAGAAATATCAATATGTTAGTCTAACAACTCCAAATGTTTTTATTCTTTACTTTAACAATATTGGTAAATTTCCTCTTATATCTTTTAAAATTAAAATGACTAAAAGTATGTTTAAACTTTAAAGTAAGTTCATCAATACTTTTCTCAGTACCTGTCCTGAAATAGATGATGAAACAATGGCAGCCAAAATAGAGCAGCTTGAAGCCCCAAGAAGACAATTCCGAGAAGCAAATAAACATTTACAAGAGAAGGTAAATCTATTTATTAAAGTAACAACAACTCTATGGAATTAACATACTCAATTCAATTTTCTCAAATTTTTAGATTAGTTTTGGTATAATAACCAAATATAGATTTTAAAGTGTACTCTAGTAGAGAGTTAGCATCCTATTAAATATTTTATTCACAGATCACAGAGAATATCCGCAAGGCTCTTCAATCATCAGCAAAAGTAAAGACAGCATCAAAAATACATTTAATGAGGATAAAACAAAAGGCAGTTGGTCCTAAGACAATACCAGCATCAGACAGAGTATACTTTGCTATCAAAAAGCCAGTAAACATGGAGCCAAAACCAATCAAAATTGTGCAGGAAGAGGATAGTATAACTAAATTTGAGTCTGTGACTCTGGATCCAGATATAAAAGACACTGTTCCAGTATTTATCAGTTCCAAATGGAGCTTGGGCAGAGCTATAGACAGCATTTGTGATTCTTGTAATATAAAGAATGATAATAATAAAATGAGCCCTGTTAAGCTAAGATTGTTTAGGCAGTTAGATAGTTACTGCATAAGTCCTATAAAAATGGATGTGGAAATCTCTGAGCTGATGAAGAATGAGGTTCTGTTGGAAGGTGACAGACTCCTGGTTGAGTATATTGATAGCAATGCTCTCAGTGAGTTAGAGGAACATGCACAGCTATTCTTAAGCTAAAAATTTTGTAAATAAATGTGTAAATGGATTTTCGGGTTTATTATTATATTTTTTTCTGAGTTTGTTAGATTTCGAATTTCGATTTACAGGGTAAAATAAGACATAAAGTCCCACAGGTCATATTCAACAATCAGTCCACAAATCCACATTGTCCAGCTAGTAGTTACTCATTCTAGAAGGCCTGGTTCTTGTATCATCAGTCCATGTAAGTTAAATAAATTCAATTTATACAATTCATAATCAAGACATTCTTTGGGTACCACAGATTGGTATTATCTTGTGCGTCGTGGGAGTGTTTACAAACATCCATAAACATAATAAGAATGTATATGTCACATTCTGGCATGACCCAGAACAACAAATGTGGATAATAAAAACAATCGGTTGGTGCGGGAATCGAACCTTTGAACTGTAGCACAGTTGCCTAAAAGATGGAGTCAATAAAACACAATATAAAAAATAAATAACCATGTAATAATGTCAACATAACCTAATTACAACTATACACTTAAAGCGGTACCTCACTACTGTCTTTACACTGTGACTGGCTCCTCTGGTACGTGACGGAGTCTACCAGCGGCATCAGCTGCGCCGGCGCAGATGGGTTAGTGTGCGCGGTGGGGGGCGGGGTCGCCGCCAACTTATACTTCTCAACTAACCAGGTGCAGTGACCCGTCCGTGCAATCAACGTTATCAAATCTCTTCGGTATTGTTTCGTTAATATCGCGTATAAGAATGGGTTCGCACAAGCGTTCAGAGGGTAAAAAAATACTAGCAACACTTTCCCGTGACTGACGTCAACTAACGGCACTCCTGCTAGAGCTGTGATGCCGAAGAAAGCTACAGGAGCCCAGCACAGTAAGTCTGTTCCTATGAGCAGCGCCATCTTGTTCGCGATCCGTCTCTCAGCGGCTGCGGCCGCCCCCCTCCCCCCATAACTTTCTCCTCCCCCTAGTGACCTGTATATCTGCACGTAGCACACCACAATCGTAACCCACGCCAACGCACTCATTATAAATATTGATCCTTGGTACACAGCATCCCCCACGTCCTTGCTCTCCACAGGCAAACATATTGAGGTAGACGAGTAATCTGACACGCCGACCAGCGGCAAGCCAGCCATCAGGAAGGAGTACAACCAACCGCCCATCATTATTTTCGCGGCTGCTGACAGAGAGATTCTCCTTTCTAAATAAATTGCATAAGTTATGGCGAACCAGCGCTCTAATGTCACAATAGTTAAAGTAATTACTGATAACTGTCCAGAAAATACTGATAAAAAGCCAGCAATCTTGCAGCCGACACCGTACTGCCAGTCGTAGGCGTAGTTGAAGAATTCTCCGTAAGACCTGAGGTCTACAACAGCCAACATGAACAGGTAGAGGCCGGTGCAGAGGTCGGAGAAGGCGAGGTGGCACATGAGGAACCTCGGGACTGTGATCTCCGTGTGGTTTGTGAGTAGGACGAGCAGAACGGCAACATTGCCTACCACCGCGGCCGTGATGACAAACCACACGCTTGCTCGGAGCCACGACCAGCCCATCACATCTTCGCAAGGATTCAGTGCATCAGGAGCGGGAAAACATTCCACTTTTCGTGGGCTGCAAATAAAGTTTAATTTAGTGCGTTTAACAATGAAACAATGAATTTATTTTTGCAAATAGGCCATAAAACGGCACTTTTACACGTCAAATTATATGTGAAATACTAGATGAAGCCGGCATTTCCTATCTGACTACTCTGAGAAGAAATGCCGAAACAAACTCAGAGGTCAGTCTCTTTTCAAGTCCAGACAATGTAAAAATAACATAATGTGAAAGAACCGTGCAAGTTCATTCTGTAGTGGTCTGTTGAGGAAAGAACCACACCAGTTTAAGTGGACCCGTTCTGAAGACAGGGACGCAAGTGTCAGTTTGCAACCAGTAGGTATAAAATTAAACGGTTTAATTTTTGAACCACTTTTGTTTTGGTAGAAGAAGAAGAAATTTCACAAATGCCTACATAACCTAACAAGAACAAGGACGTTACCTAATACTGAAGTTCCCGCACTCTGCGGATACGATCGCGAAGCCAGCCCCGAGCGAGTTGTTCACTGGCTCGTGGAACTCCCCCTGGTCGTCCTCGTCCTCCCAACTGCCGGAGTCTGAGAAATACTCGTCCATCAAGTTAGCGTCGTATTCCTCACTTGTAGTCGCTGTGGATAGATCTTCCTCCAACGAGTCTCTGTAAACGCAAGAAATATAAACTTTATACAAATATAAAGTAGGTATCTAATTTTATTACGCGCCCTCTTCGTCCTACTCTTGGTGACCGCCCGAGATTTAGGGGTATCTTTAATAGGAGATTTGGGGATTGAGGATGAGTGAGGAGGAAGAAGGATCGGGCCTCCGGCAATTTCACTCTTACTGCGAAACACAACATAAGTGTTGTTCCACGCTGGTATTCTGTGAGGCCGTGGTATCACTCTGATCGAGTCAGCCCATTTGTGCCGAAGAGTGAATGAATGTCCCTCACTAATTATAACTGGTGGAAAGTGGTTGGATCGACCTGTAGTTAGCCTAGTTAGCCTAGTTTTAGGGGGAACAAAAGTCCCAAAATCGTATGAATCTACCCAACGTGTTTAATTTGAAATTGAAATAGCGGCTGTCTTTAATGAAATTCGAGTAAGTACTAAACTTACGTTATGTTATTTTTACGCTGGGGCGACACGATCTTTAGTGGCGCCAGTGATCTTTTCTTTCTTCTGGCTACTGGTTTCTTATGTTGGCTAGCGCTCGCACATTTCTGTTGACAAAACACATCTGTTGTATTACACTGTTTTTCTTTCCTTGTCTTTAAACTGGCAAATAAAATACAGTTTTCTGAAAAATAAATAAATTATCTTATTTCTGAGTAGAGGGAGAAAATTAAGAGTTCTTCCTTACCGATTGCATTATAGCGATTTGCGTTTCATAGAGCTTGTGTCTCGTCGGATTATGTCGCTCGGGGAAATGGAACGCGCAGCAATGGAAATGATGCGTCAGGTACGCTTTCTGGAGACCCTGAGGATGGAAACGTAAAATGTGACCAAGCAACAAACAGAGTGATATTATCATGTCACATTGCTTTATCGATTGGTCACGCAAAATTGCTGTTCTCTCATTGTACATATAGATTGTGACAGAAAAGTAACGAAAGGATCAATATCACACAAGCAATGCTGGGTTTGACTGCTTGTAACAACGTAATAAAAGCTAAAAGGTATTCAGCTATTCAATTTAGCAATAAACGAAATGACAAGACCATTAGTTGGGTGTTTTACAAATCACCTGTCTGCGGCCAAGCCCTATGCTTAGCAATGTTCTAAAACTACATTGAAAGCAGTCAGCCATTACTGAGTCACACAACATTTGTACAGGAAGTAAGGGGTGCTGGTATTTATGTTTGCAGGGCACACAGGCGTGACCTTGGCCTTTTATTTTAGAAACGGATGTGTGCTATACGTTTTGTTTTTGTCAGGAAATCAAGATGACATGTTTACATTTCTGTTGTCTCTGATTTATTAATGGAGTTGATTTGGTTATGCAACACAAAACTTTCAAGGAGCCCTGAAAGCTATCTAAAGGTAGTTACGGCGCAATTACTCATACGGAACGTAAAATTACGGCACTTCCTCAATTTGTCAGTTAGGGAAATTGATATCTACTTGTTCCGTCCCATTCTAGTTTCATACAGCAGAAAAACATATTTTTTTTAAAAGGCTGTAAAATACTAATGTGACCGCTGCACACGTTTTCAATGATCGTTAGTGATGAAAAACCACCCTTTTATTGGTACTGCCCACCATTTTTGAGGTAATTGTAGGTATTACCTGAAATTCGTAAATCGATGGGATGTATTTCAATGAAGGTGTCTTCTCTATCCTAAGGGTTTCCAAATTCTGTAGTCCTGCGGTGGGCAGGGAGGTAATGGCGGTGTTACTTAAATCTCTGGAACAATAAATTGGATTTTAATACTATCACCTTCTTATGTTTATGCTTGTGATTGAGAATTAAAAAGTATGAAAGGTTTCTGATACTTACAGCTGTCGGAGGAGCAAATTCGACGCGAAGGCATTTTCATCAATGTGTTTTAATTTCGTGTTACCTTTGAAACTCCTGAAATTTTTAAGGATTTAGTACAGATCAGTTCTACAGACAGAAAAAGAATTTATTAGAATAAGATAATTTAAAATTAACAACTTACAATTTTGAAATTTGCGCATTTTTAAACGCGAATGCGGGCACTTCCTCTAACAAGTTGTAGTTCAAGGATCTAAAAAGGAAAAGAAAAACTAATTACAAATTTAAAATACTTTGTTAATATATTGGTTTTAAGAATATATGTAGTACATGATTTAATATTATGTAGGTAGGTTCATGACGCCAACTAGCTTAATTAGCGATTGAACTAACGGCCAAAATGACTAGCCATGTCGTTGAATGGCTAAACTTATTCAAGCTGTACGTTGGTTGAATTACCAACAGAAATAAGCAGATAGGTACCAGTTATTTTTTGGACGTTTGTTTTAATTATTTAGCCAGTTGGTAGCAACAAACGTATTAAAATATAATAAATACTATTAGGTACCAAATAATGTGTTAGGTAGGTAATATGTCATAGCAACCATTACGTGCGTTGGTGCGGTAATAAAGATAATAATTTTCACTTATGGTTGCAATAAGTAATGTAAACTAATTAGCACTAGATTACAGATAGCGTCGGATAAACTACAGTTATTTGTTCAAGACTCCTCTATGCGCCATGTGATAATATTTGGTAAACGATGTAAGTATGTAGGTATGTGACTAGCCGTAGGACGCTAACAGATACGCGTAAGTATTAAGGATAATAAGGCCCAATCCTTCCCCTTCCCCAATCCCTCCTCAATCCCTAGATCTCCAAATCCCAAATCCCTAATCCCTAAAAGGTCGGCAACGCACTCGTAACTCCTCCGTTGCGAGTGTCCATGGGCGGCGCTGATTGCTTACCATCAGGTAATCCGTCTGCTCGTTTGCTGAGCTATTACATAAAAAAAAATACAAATACTCGTCAGATATCGATTTTCTAATATACCTA